CAGAGCCCAGCTCCCCTGTAATGGGTGGTTGCTCCCAGGGTGCTGCAGCCGAGGAAAGGAGTGTGGCCATGACCCTGAGTCCCACGGGTGGCCAGTGCCGGCCGCGGGCCTGCTGCCTGGAGAAGGGCAGGCCTCTGAACTCTCACGGCTGTCCCGCTCTGCCCTCAGGTCCCCGGCTGTCTGGAGGCCACAGCCTTCACGAAACATCCACGGTTCTGGTGGAAACGGTGACCAAGTCGTCCTCCAGCCGGGGCTCCAGCTACAGCTCCATCCCCAAGTTCTCCTCGGACGCCAGCAAGGTGGTGACACGGGGCCCCGGGCTGTCCCAGGCCTTTGTGGGCCAGAAGAACTCCTTCACCGTGGACTGCAGCAAAGCAGGCATGCTGGGGGGAAATGGGGTCTCCCAGCGTGGGTGACGGGGCAGGAATGGGGGAGCGGGGCTGCTGTGGACAAGGGTCCCGGGTGTGAGCCCATCCTTCCTGCCTCCCTCTCCAGGCACCAACATGATGATGGTGGGCGTGCATGGGCCCAAGACCCCCTGTGAGGAGGTATACGTGAAGCACATGGGCAACCGGGTATACAACGTCACCTACACCGTCAAGGAGAAAGGGGACTACATCCTCATTGTCAAGTGGGGCGACGAAAGTGTCCCCGGAAGCCCCTTCAAAGTCAATGTGCCCTGAATCACAGACGTGCCTCCCCCAGCCTCAGCCCTCACCTCTGGCCAGACACACACTCACATACACACACACAAATGGGTCACACCCAGCACACGTGCACAATCAGACACCACAAACACCTGCCTTGAGGTGTGAAATGATGGCACTGCCTCTCCAGCCCGCTGAGCCCCCAGGGGCTGGAGGCCTTGTCTGTCTCAGGACAGTATCCCTCCCCTTGAATGTGACATGAGGGCAGACTGGGGGTTCAGAGAAGCCTGAGTTTTCTAGTGGGTCTGAGGCCAGTGGGGGAATACATGTTTGGGGGTGTCTGCATGTGTGAGAGAGGGCACCCTCAAACCTCACTGCTGGCCAGGCCTCCTTGCACTGAGGAGTGCGTCTGGCCCCTCTGGTGGCTACAACCCCAGAGTGTGAAGGACTTGGAAAAGAAGCACAATCATTGGAGAAAAAGGACCCAGAGCCAGCGGCAGCGTTGGCACGTGGCCTGGCTTAGGGCGATGTGTATCCCAGCCAGGCTTCCTGGGGGACAATTTCTCTCTCTCTCTCTCTCTCTTTTTTTATGGTTGCACAGCTCTGCCCCATGGGGGGCCTTTTTTACACACTGCGAGGCCCAGCTTTCTGGGGGACTTTTGCACATGTCATGTGGCTCAGCTGGGAGCCGCTTAGGTGGAAAACTCCAAATAAAGTGCGGCCTATCGCAGAGTCTCGGCTGTTTGTTCCCTGTGCGAGTGCTGTCCATGCTGGCCACTTCTGGCCCACTGACACGAATTCAGGCCCCAGGGAGGCAGAGACCAGCTGGCTGTCCCCCGGAGGCCTGACCCAGGCCCAGGGGAAGGGCCTGGGGCAGCGGCCACCCTTCTGGGCCATCAATCTGGTGAAGTCTGGGATGTTGGCAGAAAGAACCAGGGACGGGGGAGGGGGTAGTTAAGGATATGGGATCGGTCCTCAGATTCCTGGAGAGCTGGTGGGTGGGAGAGGGAGGTGGACACTGTTCTAGAAGACTGTCCTGGGACCGCTGGGAGGCCAACTGCTATTCACCCTGATCTCAAGGATGTTCTCCAAATTAGGACCTTAAAACATGAGCACTGACTCAAACAGGAATGCTCCTCATCCAGCAGGCAGGCAGAACCATATGCAAAGCCCAGGACTCCAGCCAGGTCCTCCCCTTGAACCAGCCTCTTAACTTAGCTCCCCTGACCCACCAGCCTTTCATTGGCCTCCCTGGCCCACAGCCTCTCCCTGGCCCACAGCCTTTCACTAGCCTCCCTGACCCACCAGCCTCTCACTGGCCTCTCTGGGCTACCAGCCTCTTTGGTAGTCTCCCTGATGCTACCCGCTGCCTCCAACCGGCTCTCCACATTGCAGCCAGAGGGGTCACATTAAAGGGATTATGCCCCTCTCCCATTCAGGGCCCTTCTGCGACTCCCTCCTCCTCCAAGCTAAGGTCTATTCTCCCTAACAAGGCCTCCAGGTTCAGGTCCAGCTTCCCTGCCCGTTCCTTCCAGAAGCCCCCTGAGTCAGGCACTGTGCTCATTCCCCACTGCACCCTCCAGCTTCAACCCCTCTTCACAGCCTCTAGTTCCCCAGGCCCCATGCTGCAGTTTGGGCCTCTGGCAGGAAACAACCTTGCCTCTCCACCGTCTTCATTTTCCTATCCAACAGGAAGCTTTTCTGGACAGGCTCCCAGCACCCATTCTCCCTGGGACATGTCTCTAGCTGCATTCACAATCTGCTCTGTGGCCATGTATCTACCTTCCCCACCACACTGAGCTCCCCGACCCTGGCAGGTCTGACACAGACAGATGTGATGAATGAACAAATGAACAAGCATCTGAGTAGCCAGGGGGCAAAGAAGCATTTCACGCAATAGACTCCCCAACTCTTAGACCCATTCCTAGACATTTCAGCACATGCCGGTGGGTCAACTCCAAAGCCCCCTCCTCACCTTGTCACTCAGTAGCCTGCCTCCTTGCTCCTCTTTAGGTTTCTTCTTTTCCTTCGCCCTCCCTCATTCACCCTAACCTCTTTCTGTGTGTCTGCCCCGCTGCCTGGGACATTTTCCCCTCTCCTCTCAATCCTGAGGGAGCTCCTTGAAGACAGAAATTGTATTTTATCAATCTTGTGTCCGCAGCCTCTTCGCGGCCAACGCCAGTTGAGTGAGGGAGTGTGAGATGAATGTGACCAGCCCGGCTCCATGCTTCATCTGACAGACCCACTGAGGTGGGATCTGCTCTCTTAAGGACCCACACACTCCTGGCCATTAAGGGCCAGTTCTGTGCCAGGCACGGAGTCAGACGTTTCCACACACACCGCTTCTCACGCCAACCTCTCCCTCCGCCTCACCCCCAGACGAGGGAGTGTTCCTGCATGAGCTGCTGTCCTCCTTTTGCGTACTGAGGGGTTTATAGACATCCAGCCCAGCTGCTTTCTCTGAGCCACAGGATAGCCCTGGGTACTGAGCACTTATGGGCTCCATCTCAATCCTAACAGCCTATGAGGTGGGCATACTGCTATCTGAAGAAACCAAGGCCCTGAGAATGGTGGTTATGAACCCAAAATCATACTTCTAGGTAGCAGGGCAGAGATTCAAACCAGGTGTTTCCAAATCCCCAGCCTATTACTAAACAAATAACCAGTAGACCAGACAATCTGGATGTTAAGTGCTCTAAACTTCCAAACACCATGCCAGGCTCCATGCCAGACGCCTGTTTGTTAAAAGGGCCGAGGAAAGGCCTGGTTGGGTGGCTCAGTTGGTTGGAGCATCGTCCCTTACACTACAGTTGTGGGTTCGATTCCTGCTCAGGGTGCATTTAGAAGGCAACCAATTTAAGTTTTTCTCGAACATCAATGCTTCTCTCTCTGAACCCCTTCTCTCTAGAAATCAATAAAAACATATCCCCAGGTGAGAATTATAAAAAAGAAAAAGGGGGGAGGAAAGAGAGGACTTCTCCTCTTCAGCATGTTCATCTCACAAAGTTCACTCAGGAATATTATTCCTATGCACAGGCCAGAAGCCTGGAAGTCCCCTGGGTTTCTCACTCCCCAAACACATCCAACCCAAAACCCAGTTTTGTCCATTCTGACTTGAAATATCTCAACTCCATCTGCTTCTCCTCCTTCCCTATGATCACTACCCGAGTTCTGGCCACCATCAGCTCTTACCACAATGGTTTCTGCTCCTTCAATCTTGTCTCCACACAGCACGGTCACGAGGCTATCTCTAAAACATATATCTGGTAATATCATTTTCTCACTTGAAATCCTTCAGAGGTTTCAGGATAACTGCCCAGATTCTTTTTTAAAAATATATGTTTTTATTGATTTCAGAGAGGAAGGGAGAGGAAGAGAGATAGAAACATCAATGATGAGAGGGTATCATTGATCGGCTGCCTCCTGCACGCCCCCTACTGGGGACGGAGCCTGCAACCCGGGCATGTGCCCTTGACCAAAATTGAACCCAGGACCCTTGAGTCCGCAGGCCGATGCTCTATCCACTGGGCCAAACCGGCTAGGGCTTGTCCATATTTTTTATCTTTTATTGGAGGCCCTAAGCCTTTGCACAGGCTGTTCCTCTTTCCTAGAACACCCTCTTGTAGTAATTTCTATCCCCTTCATCCTAATGGCGACCTTTTGAGCGCCCCCTGCTCCCATGGGTTAGTTACCTCTGATACTTCCAGGTACTTGTCACATTTTAGCAATTAACACACTGCTTTGCAATGGCCTGTTCACTAGACTGCACCTCACCAGACAGTAACATCATTAACTTGTTCACCCTTTTATTTTATTATTTAAAATATTTTTTATTGATTTTTTTTTTTTTACAGAGAGGAAGGGAGAGGATAGAGACTTAGAAACATCGATGAGAGAGAAACATCGATCAGCTGCCTCCTGCACACCCCCCACTGGGGATGTGCCTGCAGCCAAGGTACATGCCCTTGACCGGAATCGAACCCGGGACCCTTGAGTCCGCAGGGCGACGCTCTATCCACCGAGCAAAACCGGCTAGGCCACCCTTTTACTAATTAAACAACCTGTACTCATTGTTCACTATGTGGCCTATGTACACGATGGAGACCCAGACCTTGTCTTGGAGGACAGGAACCGTTTCTTTGGAGATCTCTAAGAGTCTTAACAGCAATATGCCCCACACTTTCGTTGAACCAACAATCGAACGTCCTTACGTCCTTACGTCCTTTGCCAATCCCTGGTGCCGCGCGGACTTCTGGGAATCGTAGTCTCGGGATTCAAGCCCCCTCTTTGTGGCGCAGCCGTGGTAGTTCAGGCCGTTTGGCTGCAGATGCGCATGTGCCGGGAGGTGGGGTGGTGGGACTGCGCATGCCTAGAGGGTGCGACCTGTAGGCGGTGCGCTGTGGAGGCGGGGGCTCGGGGACTCCAGGCTTTCGCGGCTGAGCGGTCTGTCTGCTAGGATGGCCGGGAGGGGGAAGCTCATTGCGGTGATCGGAGATGAGGACACGGTGACGGGCTTCCTGCTGGGCGGCATCGGGGAGCTGAACAAGAACCGCCACCCTAATTTCCTGGTGGTGGAGAAGGATACCACCGTCAATGAGATCGAAGACACGTTCCGGTACGGTGGCCAGCGAGGCCTGAAAGGGAACCTCTGCTGCCCGGGGGGAGGGCGGGGGCGGCCGGGGCCGGCGGCGCGGGGCTTCCCGACCCAGGCCCAAGCTTAGGCCTGAGGGTCAGAGAGATCGGTCCGCCGACCCTTCGGAGTGGAGGCCTCCGCTCCCCAAATTCCCTTTGGGGGAGGGGGCTATGTCGGGGTCACGGGCTCCACCTCACATGACCGTGTGTCAGGAAAGGAGGGGAAGGGAGCTCGTGACGGACGCCGCCCCTCGGTCCCACCTACCCCGCCGAGGTGGCGCTTCCCGGGCTCAGCCCCTCTGCAGGCCTGGCGGGTTCACCCAGGAGCAGGCTGCGGGCATTGCCAGCGCTCGGCTGGTTGGCGAGTTGACCCCTAAAGGAACCGCACCCCCGGTGAACACCCAGGCAGCCTCGGGCTCGGGCTTGCTTATATTTCCAGCTCCCTGCAAGGTCGAGGACATGATGCCCCCTTAGGGGCGAGAAAACGGAAGCTCAGAGATGACAGGGCACCTGCGAAAGCCACGTACATGATGGGGGAGAGACAGGGTAGACCTGTGAGCCCCGCCCAAACCTGTCTGCCTCCTGAGCCGGGTCCACAGTCAGCCTGTGCTGTCCCCCCGGCCTGCCTGGGGACTTCCCGTTGCCCTGAGCGCAGCGGGCAGCATGTCAAGTCCCGGGACCCCCCTCTGCAGGTATGTCCCCAACTTCAGGCCGTGTCCCGGGGACCAGAGCTGAGGAGGCCCCTGTGCTTCCCTTCACCCCTTCCCTGGGCCCCTGTCTTGGTTCCCAGGTCCCAGGAGCAAAGCACGCCCACCTGTTTTGCCCTAAACAGCCCAGTCCTGAGCTGCCAGTTGGGACTGGTTCCTGTTGCCTGGGAGTGACCCAAGTTGTCCTGGGAGGACACATTTTGCCTCAGGAACTTGCCATTTTTTTTTTTTTTTTCAACCAAAAGGGACCTCAGAGATCAAGTCTAACTTACCCTAGGGCAGTGATGGCGAACCGTTTGAGCTCGGCGCTGGTGCCATGTCACATATAGACATTTTTTGATATTTGCAACCATAGTAAAACAAAGGCTTATATTTTTGATATTTATTTTATATATTTAAATGCCATTTAACAAAGAAAAATCAACCAAAAAAATGAGTTCGCGTGTCACCTCTGACACGTGTGTCATAGGTTTCCCATCACTGCCCTAGGGTCTGGCGCAGAGTAGGTGCTTAGTCGGTAGTTTTAAAATTTTCTTTATTTTATATATAGATATAGATATCCGAGAGGGAGAGGGAGAGAGACATAGAAACATCAATGATGAGAGAGAATCATCGATCAACAGCCTCCTGCACACCCCACACTGGGGACCACGCCTGCAACCCCGGGCATGTGCCCAGACTGGGAATCGAACACTGAGCCACGCTGGCCAGGCTATTTTATTTTTTAAAAATATTTTTTTATTGTTTTTAGAGAGAGAGGATGAGAGTTGGAGAGAGAGAAACATCCATGAAAGAGAAACGTCCATTGGCTGCCTCCTGCACACCCCCTACTGGGAACATGTGTGACCTCTTGGTGCATGGAATGACAGTCCACTGAGCCACACTGCTTGGTGTAAATCGTTTTTTTAAATTATTAATGTTAAATTTATTGGGGTAACATTGGTTAATAACATGATAAAAATTTCAGGTGTACAACTTTATAATACAAGTAAATTGTTTTAATGGAGAAATTAATGAATGAATAGGTGGGTGATCACAAGAAAGGAAGGTCCCAGTGTCAGGTTCCCTCTGTGTGGAAAGTGTGATTCCTTCATGACTCATCTTCCTCTTTTTTTTTTTTTTTTTTAAATATATTTTATTGATTTTCCACAGAGAGGAAGGGAGAGAGATAGAGAGTTAGAAACATCGATGAGAGAGAAACATCGACCAGCTGCCTCCTGCACATCCCCTACTGGGGACGTGCCCGCAACCCAGGTACATGCCCTTGACCGGAATCGAACCTGGGACCCTTCAGTCCGCAGGCCGACGCTCTATCCACTGAGCCAAACCGGTTTCGGCAACTCATCTTCCTCTTACTACGCGGTGTTCCTGGCTCATGCCCAACTTCCCCAATGATCCATCCCTGCCCGCATCAGCATAGGCCTTGAGGCCTTGAGTGGTCTTATCAACCCCCTTTTTAAAAGTTTAATTTGTTTTACTTTGAAAAGTTAATTGTCCATGCGGTTTGCAAATTAATACTTAAAAGGTATACACATTACGAAGTCTCATTCTCATCCCTGTCCTTTTCTACCTCATTACCCCTGTGCATACCCGCTGAGCTGCTCCCCGCTTTTTCTTTGCGAGCGCAAAGGGGCAGGCACGTCTATTATCCCCTCCCTCTTACACAAGGCAGCACGCGGATACACTGCACCGAACCTGCATGGCCAGGGCACTTGGAGCCTTCTCAGCAGGGGAGGCAGAAGCCAGCCCTGACCACCATGACCCTCAGCTTCTGAATGAAAACATTCCGGAGAGGATGGAGAGTTTAGTGTAGCAACCTTTACCCTTGTCTTCTGTGCTCCCTGGAAGAAGCCCATACCCCCTTGCAGCCGAGCCCACCAACTCGGAGTAGGCTGCCCTGGACTCCCTTCTCATCTCTCCCAACAGGCAGTTTCTAAACCGGGATGACATCGGTATCATCCTCATCAACCAGTACATCGCAGAGATGGTGCGGCATGCGCTTGACGCCCACCAGCGCTCCATTCCGGCCGTTCTTGAGATCCCATCCAAGGAGCACCCCTACGATGCCGCCAAGGACTCCATCCTACGCAGGGCCAGGGGCATGTTCACGGCCGAAGACCTGCGCTAAGGCTCTCCCCACTCCCCTGCTACCTCTCCCTGCTTGCCATCAGCCCCTCTCTAAGTTTTGAGCCTCTGATTTCCGATTCCCTGCCCTTTCCCACTCCATTGAGAGGCTAAATGAGGTGCTTCCACGTTGCTGGGGCTCTGTCAGTAAAATTAAGGCTGGTTGTTAGGGAACAGGAAACCTGATTGTCTTCTCTCTCCACTACCTCTCCCCTGTGCTGTTACAGTGTCATTGTTGATGTTAAATTAAAATAATGTTCTCTCCAAACCAAGTCTGGATGCCAGAAAGGATACACGTGGGATGATGCTCGTGGAGGGATTAGATGGGCAGGGCTGGAAAAGGTTCTGCCAGAGATCAAAGCAGAGAGAAGTTGGATAAGGAAGGTTGTGCCAGGAGGCCATAACTCAAAGACTGGTCCTCGGAATCAAAGATGACCAGCTCTGGCAGGGAGGATGGGAGGAGATGAGCCCAGACCCCTGGCTCCCCAACTTTAGTCTATTGGCTGGGGGGACCTGACCCAAGAGCTGGAAGCAGAAAGCACAGGAAACCTGGAAGCCTGGAATGCTAGCCTGGGCCTGGGTCCTGCAGAAGGTTTGGGGATCAAGGCTCTTAGCCAGAGGGCCTGGCCCGAGGCTGCCCCAGGGAGCGAGGCATGTGAGGTCTGCTGAGGGCATGGCAGGTAGAACCCTGGCCCTGTGTGAGGTGAGGCTTGGTTGCCTGGTGACTGTCCCGGGCCAGCCACCTGCTGTCAAAAGGACTCTGTTTGCTGTGCTCTCCCCTCAGCTGCACTCACCCTGGTACCTCTCCTCTTGCCACCATGTCGCGGCGACTCAACATAGATTCTGTGCAGCAGAACTTCTGGAAGGAGGAACTTATGAGGGAGCAGAAGTTGCGGTGTGAATGGCACCTCAAGTATGGGTCGATGGTGAAGGCCAAGCAGAAGGCTATGGCTGCAAACCGTCTACCCCTCAAACTGCCCACCCTGTACCCCAAAGCCCCACTCTCACCCCCACCTGCCCCCAAAGCAGTCCCTTCCAGAGTCCCCTGCCCTGCCCTGGAGGCTCCCCAGCAGTCAGAAATGTACCCAGTGCTGCCTGCCACTCGGGCCCTGCTGTATGAAGGCGTCTCCCACGACTCCCAGGGCCGCTGGTGCTATCTCAGCGCCCGAAAACTGGACGTGCCAGAGAAGCGCTACCTCTTCCCCATCACCACCAACTTCACATACGGCTGGCAGCTGGGTGAGCCCCGACCTTCTAGAAACTCCCTCACAAACAGGCACCTGTCGGGAGCCAGGCAGCGTGCTGGGCACTAGGCACATGGACACTCCTTTCTGGGGCGTCCACAAGAGCAAGAAAATGAGCAGGAGGTGGTCCCGGTGGGACCAGGGAGTGACGGGGTGTGTGCTGCTTTAGATGGGATTGTGAGGACATGCCTGGCTGGGCGCCTAAATGACAAAGAGGAGTTTGGGATGTATTCCAAGTGTGAGGGGAAGTCAGGGGAGGGTTTTAAGCAGGTAAGTGCATGGATTTATTTTTAAAAATCACTCTTTAACTGTATGCAATGGCTTTTCCAGGGGAAAGTGTAGATTGGCAGATGAGTTAGGCAGCTACTTTGAGCTTTCCTGGCAAGAGATGACAGCTCGGGCCAGGGCAGTTAGCAGAACTGAAATATATTCAGTTTTGGAGGAAGAATACATGAAACTTTCGGATGGATTGAATGAGAGAAAAGAATGCACTGATGACAGCCAGGTGTTTGGCTGAAGCCGCTAGGAGAGGAGCAGGACTGGAGGGTGTGTGAAGACAGGTCAGCGCTGGCCACGTGCGGGAGGTCCGTGAGGCTGGGTGTGGGAGTTGCCCTCTGGAGCCAGGTGAGAGCTGAAGATGTGAATTTGGAGTCATCAGAAAATAGGTGCTCTTTAAAACCCTGAGATGGGGTGAGCTCGCCCAGGGAACTCCAGATTCTGGGGTCTGACAGGAGGAGAGGCAGGGGGCACAGGGGGAGGGAGATGGTGTGGGTGTCCCTCTGCACTGAGTTCACTTTTTCCTGGAGGCTGAGTCAAGGTCATCAGTGGGGGGAGGAGCGGAGGTTGTGATGTAGTTTGAAATGAAGAGTTAAGGTGTGGGGAAGGAGCATGCCAGGGGCTGGTGCAGGATTGCTGGGTGATGCTGTGTCCCTTTGCTCTCTGCGGTCATGAGTTTCAAATGAACTAAGTTATGTGTCTCCAGCTGCTCTAGTGCCTGTGCAGAACAGGGGATGGTTGGTTGGGGATACACACCGTTTAAAGTTTGCCTAAAAAGTCTCCCCTCTTTCCCCAGAGCCCTAAAAGGGAAGTAAAGGGAGCAGTTTCCAACCAGCGCAGGAGGTAGAAAAAAGCCCCAGCTGTCCTAGAGAAGTCTAGCTTTGTCCCTGTGAGCAGGGCGGGGTCCTGCCACCCTTTTCCTGGAGGATTCTGAGGCTGGGGGCAATGATAGCACACAGCGGAATGGCATTCTGCCATCTCTGCTGATCCGCCACCAGCCCACTCCATTTCCCCCGTGGCCCCCATTCAGAAGCACTATTTATTTATTTATAATATATTTTTATTGACTTCAGAGAGGAAGGGAGGGGGAGAGAGAAACATCAGTGATGAGAGAGAATCATTGATTGGCTGCCTCCTGCACAACCCCCACAGGGGATCAAGCACGCAGCCCAGGCATGTGCCCTTGACTGGAATCGAACCTGGGATCCTTCAGTCCGCAGGCCGACACTTTACCCACTGAGCCTACCCGGCTAGGGCCGAAGCACTTTTTATTTATTCGCGCTTACAAAGTGGATACAATAAGGTCAGGTTCCTAAGGCTGGGTAGGCAGAGCTGCCATGTTCTGCGAGTTCCTTTCCCTGGAACCCATTCCTGGCTCTGACATCTTTTCCCAGGCCCCACACTGAAGCAAGAAATGGCCTCCACCAAGATGTGCCGCGTTGACTCGTTCTTCCGCAAGAACGGGGCCTTCTCCTCGCTGGACCCCCGGGACCTGGTCCTCTGACCTGGGCCAGGCAGTGTGCTTGGCGCTGGAGGAGGTCACGCGCCACCTGGCGGTGTGTGAGTCGGGCTCTCCCGCTCTGAGGCTGGTTCTGGGCCTTCTGAAACTACCTCTCATCTGCAGGCTGCCCTCCTGTTTTTCCTTCTCCTCCACCTCTTTCATCGTCCCTTTGAAGGCTCAGCAGTGGTTAGAGGGGGTGACCGCTACCCTCCGGGCGCAGGCTCCTCAGCGCCAGGGGGCAGAGTAGCTGCTGGAAGTTCTGTGTTCCTGTGGAGAGTGGCCTGTTACCCCAGATGCCCGGGAAAGGGGACCGCCACCCTGCTACCCCACAAGCCTCTCCCTGCCCCCTCACCTGGCTCCGAGGGCCCAGCTGCACCCGCAGGGCACGCCGCTGCCCGCCTTGTCCTGTGTGGTGCCAAGCGCTGAGCGCCAGTGTACCCCAGCCCACAGCTCAATGGAGCCAGCAGGGCGCAGCACCAGGGCAGACCCCCGCCGCCATTACCCTGCCCCATCACCATGCCCCAGCTGTGTGGGTGGCAGCTCCGGGGCACTTCGAAGGGACCCAGGTGGGCCCCCACCCCCCATCCCTGTCTTCTCCCGGGGATCTTGCCTGTGGTGGGAGCTGAGCTGGACGGGGTGGGGGCCCCAGGGGGGTGCACCCGGCAGTGGCGGTTCCTGGCGATGGAGGGAGAGGTTCCAGGACCTGGAGGGAGAGCCGCCTTCCGTGCCCAGCCCATCAGCGGGCCCTCCCGCGCAGGATGTACCCAGAGCCGCAGCTGCTGGCGGTCCTGCTGCAGCCAGTGCCTGGCCGCTCTGTGCCGCTGCAGGGCGTCTCCTGCTGCGCCGCGCTCCCGCCCGCCCAAGCCTTTTCCCCGCCCTGCGGTCCGGGCCACGGCCTTCGAGGCCTTGGGGGCCGCAGCAGCGCTCCTCCGCCCCTCGAGGGTGCCCGGGCACCTCGCCTCGCCCACTGGTTTCTCTGCTGGGCAGGGTCCCCCTGCCGGATCCTGCAGCCCAGGGTACCCCGGGAGGGCTGTGGGGCGCTCCTGCTGCTCAGAGCCCGCGGAGCTCCGGGCGAAGGGGAGCCAGCGCCCCCTCCCGGCCGGCCCCCTGCTCCCCCAGGGCCACCGCGGATTCTAGTCTCTGGCTGGGGGTCTTGTCCTGCGTCAGCCCCGTGCTCCTTCCCCGGGGCCTGGGCGCTCCCTTCCCCCAGGCTGCGGCCTCTGTCCTGCCGGAGACCTGCAGCCAAGTCTTCCTCCTGGGGCTGTGCGGGCGCCTCGCCCTGAGCCCCTCCGGGCTGGTGAGTCGGCCTCCGCCTCCGGAAGGCGAAGGCTCTTCACTCCCCCCCAGGGGCCTCCTTCCTCAGGCACTCTGGCCTGCTGCCTCCTTCATCCTGAAGAGCATCTCCTCACCCTGAGGGGCCTCCCGCCCAGACCCCAGAGAGCTCTTGTTTCAGGGCCGTAGCCTCCCCACGCTGACCCTGCTTTGCCTTCTCTCTGACTCTGAGGAACTTCTTGTGCTCCCCGTGGGGGGCTCCCGTCCCTGATCCCGAGGGCCCCCCTCTCTCCGACTCTGAGGAATCGGAGTTTCTGAAGTTCTGCTCTGTCCTGGTCGCAGCCCCAGCCCAGCCCCTCGGGGGATCCGGGGACAGTGGCAGGCGCTGGGCGGGCGGCCTGAGGCCCGCAGGCTTCCGGATGATGGCGGAAGGGGGCCTGGGTGGTGGGCTCTGCTGGCCCTCTCTTCCTTCTGGACCAGATTCAGGGAAGGATGCACTTTGTCCTAGGCTGTGAGGGAATCCCTGTGCCAGGGCCACCCCCACCCCCCACCCCAGGGGAGCCTGGAGACCCCAGTGGCTGCTCCGGTGGCCCCCCTGCCATATGGCCCTTGCCCGACTCCTGCGTGTGTTAACCCGTGTTATGTGGTGTAAACGGTGCTTCAGCAATGGTCCCGTCCACCTCGCTATAGGAAGTCCCCTGCCTCACCCCAGCAGCCTCTTCCACGGCAGAACCCACCCCTGCCGCCCCCAATCTAGAGGGCCCTTGCCCAGGACCCTCTGACCCCTTCACCTTGAATTCTGAGTTTGCTGGTTCCCCAAAGCTACTGCTGGTGGTGGGGTCCAGGTCTCGTAAGCAACCTGAGAGAGAAAGATTGAGGTAAGGAGCCCTCTGCACACGTCCCAGCCCCTCACACATCTCACCTGGACTGGAGCCAAGAAGCCTAGGGAATCCCCGGCAGACAAAGGGAGGGGGCGCCCAGATAGCTGGTGTTTGAACTTCGAGTTCTCATAGTTCATTGCTCCACCTGTATTTACACAGCCTACTATGTGCCTGCTTGTCAGGTTTGCCCGCCTACAGCCGACCCCATCTTTCTTACCTTCCCCTCCAAGCCAGGCCATCTCCCTGAAACCCCACACCCTCTTCCTCCACCATGGGATGCCTTGGAGCAGGAAGGGCCTCGTTAGGACACCCCTACTTTGTCCTGATGGGCCCATCCAGACCCATAAAAAAACCACTGCATGTACCCTTTTAAGCTCTTCCTTGGTTTCTGACAGCAAAATCAGACAAAATTCAAGAACTGAAATCTTAGGGCAGAGCTGAGCCTTAAAACTGCAAGTCTGCATAATCAACAAAAGGAATCTAAAAAGGGAGATGAGAGGTCGCTGCTCCCTTGCAGCTGTGGAGGGAGGCAAGTTGCTCAGTATCCTTAAAACGAGTTTAAAAAACTTGATTTCCTAAGGTCTTAAAGTGGGACCCTTCTCAAGAACATCCCATCTTTATGCAATATGGATGTGGGGATATTCATCACTGTAACCGAAAGAGAATGTTCTCTGTGAAAATAATCTGTCTTTTGAAGAGGTTCTGAGCACAGGGGTCCGACAAGACTCCCACACCTTCAGAAATTATTGCATAAACTGTGAAAATAGCCTCCAGCCCCTTCCTCTGAATATAATTGTAAAAATTTCTCTATCAATTAGACAATAGTCATTGCCACTTTTTCCTCTCACACGTATGAAAGAACAATTAAAAGCTGCCCTGGCTGCTTGATCATGGTCCCATTTACCGAAAGGTCACTGTTCGAATCCCAGTCAGGGCACATGCCCAGGCTGCGGGCTCGAGCCACAGCAGGGGGTGTGCAGGAGGCAGCTGATCAATGTTTCTTTCTGTCTCTCTGTCTCTCTCTCCCTCTTCCTCTCCTTCTCCCTCTCCCTCTCTCTAAAATCAATAAAAGCAAATTTAAAATGCTTATGGCTTTGCTGGGCTTATTATTTAACAAATCCTTTGAGACTCTGTCTTGTTTAAACTAACAGGTCCAGGGCTCACAGCATCTATCTCACTGGATTCTAATCCCCTGTTCATGGTCACACTCTCTCACTAGGCTGTGCTCTCCTCAGAGACAAGGTCCAAGCGATGGGGCAAGACTTTTTCTTTCTTTCTTTCTTTCTCTTTCTTTCTTTCTTTCTTTCTTTCTTTCTTTCTTTCTTTCTTTCTTTCCTTCTTTCCTTCCTTTCTCTCTCTCTCTCCCTCTCTCTCTCTCTCTCTCTCTCTCTCTCTCTCTCTCTCTCTCTCTCTCTTTCTTTCGGCAAGACTTTCATGTACTTGGCGTATTCCCAGTGTCTGGCTTAAGGGTGGCCCACAGGCTATTCCATTCCCTCCTCCCCAAGCAGCCATGGACAGACATTGCCCACCTCTCTCCCCTGAGCTCCAAATTAGTTTCAGAATCCCCCTGGACACAGAGCCTGAGACAGCTGCTACAAATCAAGGGGAATTGGCACATAAAATAAAACCTACGTGCTGTTCTTGGATGCCCCGACACCCAACTAAGAGCTATGAGATGAGGAATGAGTGAGGAGTGGACTGCCTCCCCCAGTGTAGCCCGGCCCCCCAGCCCAGGGCCCTGCTGCCTGGATGCCGACCCCTCCTGTCAGCATCCCAGGTGTGGGCTCTGCAGGCACGCCAGGGCTCTCCCACCTGGCTCTGCGGCACTCCCGGCTTCCCCCAGATCTGGGGCTGATGATGGGTCTGCAGCCAGCCCCCTGTAGGTGTGCAAAAGCTGCCTCAGCTGCACCTCCTGCATCTGGGCTCTGGAAGGGGAGGGGCAGTCTGTCTGCCAGTCTCCCCACCCCCAGCAGCTGCTAAGCCTTTCCACCCAACATTCAAACACCATGCGGGGTGACCTGCCCCAGCCCCTGTACCCACCACTGAATCCTGGGAGCTGGGCCTCTGGGGGTTACCCTTCCCAGGGGCTGCGGGCAACCATATGGGTGCAACTGAGCGAGAGCCCCAGGAGGACCATGTGTGTGAGGGGGGGTGCTGGGCGGGGCTGCGGAAGGAGACCAGGGAAAGGGCCAGTGTTCGGTCTCTTTATGTGGAACACCCAGTGCACAGATTCCCTGGGAGAAAGACTCGCCCTTCCAGGAACTGATGGTTCTGGCTCAGGGTGTCCCCAGCCTGGTGTGAGGAGCACAGCCTGGAACGCTGGAAGGATTAGGGGGTGGCCTAGTCCCAGGGCACCAGATGGTAGGCAGCCTCTAAAATGCCCCCGAGATGCTCCCTCCTGGCATCCATGCCCTTGGATGATGCCCTCCCCTGCCCCTTCAGGTGCAGGAGCCTGGAAAGGGGTCCCTCCTGCCCAGGGGAGCCCTCAGATGAGCCTGCAGTCCTGGCCGGCAGGTGGTCTGGACAGGTCATTGGACACACCCTCCTGCTCTCGCCTGGGAGGCCTCGGCCCAGACCCGGCTGCCAACCTGCCCGAAGGGCCTCGGCAGTTGGTGGCTGAGCTGGACCGGAGACAGCCGTCGCTCCCAGTCACCACAGCACCCTTCTTCCTGGAGGGAGAGCTGCGGGGGGGCGCCCAGTGTGCCGCTCAGGGCCTTGCCAGCTGCTCTCCTCCCACGCTGCAGCCATCACCACGCAGTGGACTGACCAAGACAGGTGCTGGCTGTGGGACGGTAGCAGCCGGCACAGAACGAGCAGGCCCCATGCTGCGGGCACAGCTACACCCTCCTCGTGGGTGAGCTGTCGGTGCTCCCAGCAGCCCTCTGAGAAGGATGTCCTCTTCCTCATCGTGTGGCTGAGGGAATAGAGGCCACAGCCCACACCGTGTCGGAACAGAGATCTGAACCGGATCCATCTGTCTCCATAGCCCACGCTCCTCCCACTGTCCTCACCGCTATGACTGCCCCAATGTCACAGTGACCCCCCTGCCTCAGCCAAGCCCCGCTCACCCCACTCATCAGCTGCTCCGAGTCCCCACCCACCCTACCACGGGCCTCACTGCGCTGGTTCTACACACACTGGGCCTGGTCCCTCAGACTGCAGAACTGGGCCTGCGGAGGCCAGAAGAGGCCCAGCCCCGCCCCAGCCAGCAGCTCCAAGTCCCACAGGAGCTGCAAAAAGATGGGGTGCCAGAATGTGAGAGGGTACCCACCCTGCCTCTGCCACACCCCCAGGCAGCCCCTCCCTGCTCCTGGGCCGGCCGGCTCCATGCCATCTGCAGCAGCACGGTGGGCCGCTCCAGGCCTGAGGGGCAGGCCCGGCCCTCTTGCACCTGGGGAGGCAAGGTTGGGTCAGGCCCACAGAGGCCCTGTCCCCTCAGAGGCAATGCCCTGCCTCCCTCACCTGCCAAAGTGCAGCCCAGAGCTGGCCCAGGCCTGCAGGGCATCGGAACAGGTGCTGGTACAGAGCCAAGACCTGCTTGGGGCTGCAAGGGAGCCGTAGGCCCCCAGGTGTAGCTGCCTGCGCCATGGAGTAGGGGTCCGAGCAGATGTCCCCTCCCCCTCTCCCAGTGCCACTAGGACTGGAGATGGACAAACAGGAGCTGCTCACAGGAACCAGGGACAAAGCCCCTGAGCGCAATCATGCAGGACCCTGAGATCTGAGCCGCGGCCGGCGCCCACCAAGCCTCCTGGAGCTCTGACTCCGAGAAAGGTTTCTGGGCAATGGAGGGGGCGGGGTAGGGTCAGGAGTGTGATCCTTCCAGAGTCAGGTGTGTGCCTGTGCTTGTTTGCATCCCAAACGAGTACCTGTTTTACATCCACATACTTACATGTACATACGAAGCTGCATTACATAGGCACCTCACATGCTCAACATGGGCAGCAGCCACCAACAGCCAGGACACACCTGTGACCTTTCCTCGCAGCAACCTGATGAGGTAGGGCAGTGATGGCGAACCTTTGGAGCTCAGCGTGGCAGCATTTTGAAAAACCCTAACTTAACTCTGGTGCCGTGTCAGTCACATATAGAAATTTTTTGATATTTGCAACCATAGTAAAACGAAGACTTATATTTTTGATATTTATTTTATATATTTAAATGCCATTTAACAAAGAAAAATCAACCAAAAAAATGAGTTCGCGTGTCACCTATGTCACGCGTTGTCATAGGTTCGCCATCACTGAAGTAGGTGCTATCATTCTCACCCCCATTTTACAGATCAGAGCACTGGGCCCCAGAAGTAAGCTGCCCTAACCAGCAGGTGGCACTGTCTCCCTCAGCTGGAGATGGTGGCGGGGATGAACAGGCTCTGAGCCAGCACGGGCAGGACAACGTGACCGGCAGGACAGTGTGACAGGCAGGACAGTGTGACGGGCAGGACAATGTGACCGGCAGGACAGTATGACCGGCAGGACAGTGTGACGGGCAGGACAGTGTGACCGGCAGGACAGCGTGACGGGCAGGACAGTGTGACCGGCAGGACAGTGTGACGGGCAGGCCATGGCGGGTGCATCCCTAGCGCTGGCTCCAAGCTGTCCCCGTACAGAGCGCTGTTCATTCTGCTTGTTCCTTGCAATACTCAGATGAGGACACAGCCTGCATAAGCTGTAACTAGGGGAGGGAATGAAGACAGGAGAGGCTGTGATCTTCGCCGCCTCTGCTGCTGCTCTAGCCACGCCACAGGGCAGGGAGCCCAGAGAGCAGCCTCGGCAGAAGCAGCTGAGCAAGCAGACAGGTGACCTCAATCCAGCCCAACACTCTCCCCTCCTCCTGCTGAAATATTAGGGACCCAGCAATGAGTGCAGGGCCCCCTTTAGCCAAGGTCCCTAACACACCAAGGTCAGATAGCCAGTAGGAGGTAAAGAGAATTCAAGATAGAGTTCACTTTTAAAAGATGTTTTTCTTTTCAAAGAAATAGAGTTTTTCTATTTCAAAGCTCATGTTCTTTCCCCTACAAGGATGTCTTCAGAAACTGCACGTGTGTCCCCGGCCCACAGGCCCATCAGGGTGGGCGTGGCTGTGGATGCACACAGGTATACACGCTTGTTGTGTGTGTGTGGGGGGATGTCTGTGCACTTGTATCTGTGTCTGTATTTCATCACTGTCCTGATCCCCACTCCAGGCACAGGGTCCCTCTATCACCAGCTCTGAGTGGCCCCGGTGGCCCCTGAGCACTTGGTATCCCCAAACCAAGAGAAAACAGGTTGCCATGTGGGGACTGAGCACCCCTGCAGGATTCCACATGATCCACAGAGGGTGCCCCATCGGGGCCACAGGCCATGCCTGCTACCGGCAAACGCAGGCTGGGACCAGGAGTCCTGGCTCCGCCTGCCCACTGCAGGGCAGCACCAGGGTGTGGCGGGCAAGGGCAGCCCAGGGATGCAGGCACAGGAGTGAGCAAGGTCCAGAGCTGAATCCCCACAGCTGCCACCGCTCTGACTCTGGGGACCTGACTTCTGGCCGCCATGTCCCAAGCAGCCCATGTCGCCACCCCAGCGCCAGGAGGAAGCACGCACACACACAAGGCAGCCTTAGGTCAGGCCCCGAGTTTACTGCTTCTGACTCAACACGGCTGGGGTTTTTGTGGGACATGGGCCCAGGCTCCCAGTGCCAGCGCAGGGCACTCTCGCTGAAGCTCTGGCCAGGGTGGGAGCTGCTCTCCAAGGAGAGACTTCTGGTCTGATGAGTCCCGGTCGCTGTCATCCTGGGTCAGGTGTCCCCCGGGATTCCTGGCTGGGGCTGAGCAGATCTCGGGGTGGCTGGTCCCCAGTGAGTAGGACTGGGGGGCAGGCCTCAGGTGGGATACAGTGGGCTTCATGCTCCACCAGGCCTGCGGGGCACTGGCAGCCAGGGACACAGGGCCTCACACAGTCCGCAGACAGCTCCCCCAGGGGGACGTGCTGGTTGAAGCAGGTGCGGGGACAGGGCGGGCCACACTCATCGAACACGAAGCCACGGTCCAGGGGGCAGCCCACCACTGCAGGCAGAGTGGAAGGCAGGGCTCCAGTCACCTGCTCACCCCTTGCAGCCCTCCCTGTGCCTCCCCCACCCAGATCTGGCCCTCTGTGCCACCCCCTTCCCCATGCCACCCCGGGCACTGCTGGCTCACCACAGAGCGACGGGCCCCGCCAGGCCGGCGTCGCCCCTGCCTGGCGACAGTGGCTGGCGTAGGCCTCCAGGGCATCGCAGAGGCAGCCGTCAGCCAAGGAGCCGGGGCCACAGGCACACAGGTCATACACACAGGCGGCAAAGAAGGGCTCCGGCGGCACCACGGCATGGCAGCGACTGAACGGGGGGGACTTCAGCACCCCGCACCGGGCGTTGGCCTCACGCCGGGCACGGTAGCCTGCTGCTCGGCAGGGATGCACCTCCCGGCCCTTGGCACAGGGCCGGCCAGGTCCCGGCCCCTCGGGGACCTGGGTGAGGAAAGCGGCCCTGGCGTGACCGCATCCTTGGGCAGCTGGCCTTTGCCTGCCGTTCTTCAAAGCATTTCCCACCCAGTGTTTTGTTTGAGCTTCAAAAACCCCCTTACAAGAATAGCAAAGGATGGGGGGGATACGGACACATATGTACTAGTAATACCTTAATCAATAACGAAGAAAAAAAGAATAGCACAGAAAGCGTGAGTACTTTTCTTTTGTCCCCATTTTGGGGACAAACCAAGGCCCAGAGCAGGCAAGTAACTTGTTCAAGGTCACACAGCCTGTGAGTAGCAACGCAGGGCTTGGGGAGTTAGATGATGAGGCCTCTTTCAACAGGCCTTTCTGCCTCCTCCAGCTCCATGCCAGGCAAGAAGCTCCCGAGCCAGCCTTAGAGTCCCAAAGCCCATCTTGTGTCCACCCTGCTCCCCATGTCCACGCCAAAGCGCTGCTCTGAGACTAGTGCTCAACTGTGCCGTTTCGGCCCGCTCCCCGCCCCCCAGGCTCCCGGCTCCTGTATCACTCACCTGCCAGCTATTCCCAAAGGCAGCCTCCGTGGGTTGGAGCAGCCCCTGAGGGCCCTGCAGATCATCCTGGGCAAAGCCATTGAAGTTCCCACAGAGCCCACAGATCTGGCCCCGGTAGGAGCCAGGCACTCTCACCTCCACCTGGGACTGCCCATCCCACAGCACCTGTGTGGGGAGGCTGGGACTGGAGAGAGGGGAAACACAAGCCCAAGATCCGCCCTGGCCGCACACACTGTGTCAGCGCGCCCCCTGCTGTAGGAGGGAGGCTCTCCATGGGGGAGGCGGCCCGGCCCAGGCCCCGCGGGCTCAGGCTGCGGGACTATGACCGCCAGCACAGCTCCCAGGAAGGCACGGCCGTCAGCATCCCTGAACTGGGCCCCCAGGTGAATGCAGCCCACTTCCAGAGATGCACTATCTCCCGGGTGCTCAGGCCTTACAGCGGACAGGACGCAGTTAGAGTTTGTATCCCAAGTGTAGCCAAGTCCTATTCTAGGAATTTACAAAGTGTCTTCTGCTGGCTGCGGGGGAGTGCATCACTCCTTGCCTGGGAGCTGGAGGGACTCCTGAAGCCACCTAGGCCCTGGGAGACCTCAGTTGACCCTCCGCGAATCCTTCCCCGATTTTACCAACGAGGAAACCGGCCCACAGAGGACTGGTCCAGGCCCAGGGCCCAGTGTGTCGATGGCTGAGCCAAGATTAGAAACCAGGCTCAGAACTTTCATTGCACAGGAGCTCTCTGGACTCTCCCACCTCCGTGTGGCCCGGGAAGTAGCTGGTAACCCCCACGCCCTCCACGGACACAGCAGCCTGAGCACCCCCGGCCCCCCCTCCCCACCCCAACCCCCACGGCCAGGCCGCACCTGGAGCCCCGGCTGGGTGTGCAGGATCACGGTGCCTCCCCGCAGCTCCGCGTACAGCAGCGGCTCCTGCAGGAAGGGCAGGGCCACAGGGCGCCCGTCCACCTAGAGGAGAGGGAGGGCGGGAGGAGGGGCGACGTTGGGCGGAGGCCTGGACGGCGGCGCGGGACTGCCCTTCCCCGGCCCTCGGCTCGCCTCACCGTGACCGCCCCGCCCTGCAGCAGCCGCACGGCCACGTCTCCCAGCAGCACCGCCACCTCCTGGGTCCAGGCCACGCCGCTCCGGCCCCGGTCAGTGTTGGTCACGTGCACACTGCGGAGCGAGAGGCCGGGCGCGGTGGTCAGCAGGAGCGGGTGCGGGGCAGGGAGCAGGCGGGGGGGCTGCGCACCTGAAGTCCCCTCCACGGCAGTGCCGGGCCAGCACGTAGCTGCAGCTGCCCTGGAAGTGCAGCAGGCGGCCGTCGAAGGTGCGGTAATGGGGGTCTCCGAAGGCCACGCAGGAAGCCGGCCGCGGCAGGCAGCGGGGGCAGCAGCTGCCGGGATTCAGGGCGGGAGCCTCGTCCTGGCCTCCGCCCGGGACAGAGTCAGACGCGCGGTCCCGGCGGAGCCCCACGCAGAGCCTCTGAGGACCGGGGCGCTCGGGCTCCCAGACGCACTGCGAGCGGGCTCAGGGCGCCGCCTCGCGGTCTCTCCGGGAACTGCAGGAGCCTTCGCCGCGCCGCGCCGCCCCCCCCCCCCCCCTCGCCGCCCCCAGCTCGGCGGCCGGGGCCCAGCCCGGTCCCTCCTTCCCAGCCCGTTGCACCAGGCGGCGGTGCCACGTGCACACTCATCCTCCCCCCACCCCCGCCCTAGACGGGCACTCACAGGGCCGCAGGAGAGCGGCGGGCAGCGCTGACTCTGGCAGCGCACGGCGCCGGCCACGCAGGAGCACCTGGTGCAGGGGTCCACGGCCCAGCTTTCCCCGGAGGCCACCTCTCGGCCCTGGTGCTCACATGACTGGGCGGGAGCTGAGGCGACTTGGAGGGGGGAAGGCAAGGGTCAGCTGCCCCTGCCTCACCCTGGGTCTCGGTGCTGCTCCCTCCATCACCCGGCCCGCACCTTGGCATCGTTCACAGCACCTGCCAGTGTCTCGCACCTTCACCCAGCCGTGTGGGCAGGAGAGGGCCTGGCACTCCTCAAGGCGGCACTCCACGCGGCCCCGCTGAGGACAGAGGCCACTGCTCTAGGGACTTCCGGTAGGACCCGGGGTCCCTGGTCACACTTCTGGGGGCTCAGTTCTGAAGCAGCAGCCCCTTCTTCCTGGAGCTGCTCCAGAAGAACCACCACTTCCTGTTCAGGTGAGGCCTGAAGTCCAGCCCTCAGCTCCGTGCCCAGCACAGGGATGCCTCTGCCCCCTCTCACCCAGAGGGGCGCCCTTTCCTAATTACCTCAAAGACACACCCCCCCATATGCATTGGCCCAGCGTCCTGAGGCTCCCCTCTTCTATAAGGCCCTCCACCCCCACGCCTCACCCCCAGCTCACATGGCAGGTACAAGTAATGCAGGCGTTGCTGGGGTCCCGCCAGCTCTCTCCATCCGCCACTCTCCGGCCCTGGGCCTCCACCACACATTCTGATGGGAAATGAGGCTGGGGGAGCGCTGTCCTTCCAGCTGCATCCCTCCTCCCTGGAGCGCACCCTGAAGGCCCACAGCAGGGGTGCCCCCCACCCACTTAGCACCCTGATGGTATTGATTTCTTCAGCCACATGCAGGGGGCCTACTAGAGGGCAGACCCTGCAACGGGGATGTGGAGAGGGCTCTGGAAGCCGAAAGAGCCATAGGCTGGAGCCCTCCTCGGGCCTGGCTGCCAGCTGGGCAGTGCAATACCCTACCAGGGGCCTGTGGTACTGAGCCCACTGACAGGCCTCAGGCCAGGCCTTGAGAATCCAGGCTTCATTCTCTGCCTCCCTCTGCCTCAGGGCCTCTCCTCCACCCCAATGATAACCCCTCCATTTCTACAAAAGAACGAAGCCAGCATTTACCCACACACACAGGGCAGCAGCCCCCAGGGGGGGTATGGCGCTCTGATGGGGGACAGCTGAGCTCAGGACAGGCCTGGTGAATGCAGAGCCAAGTCAGGTCCTGTGAAAGGGCATGAGAACACGGTGGGTAGAGAATGGGGGAGGGAGCCGGCTCTTCGCAGAACGTGACATTCAGGACGGGTGGGCGAATGCCGGGTGAGTGGGAATCCCGGAGCTGCAGCGGGAGATTCGGCCCCAGCCCACAGAGGCGGTTCTTAAAGCTCTGGGAATCCCCAAGGCCGAGGGCTCACCTGGCACTGGCAGGTGTAACAGGGGTCCAGCGGGACCAGCTCAGACCCCAGCAGGCCCTCCGTGCAGTTACTCAAGGCCTCTGTGTAGACAAGAATGCAATTGAGGCTAAAAGGGGGGCAAGGGATGTAAGCCCAGGTGATCGCACTCACCCACTCTATCCTCAGACCCATGTCCCCGGCCCTTGTCTCCAGGAAGGATAAATCCTTTCCCGCTGGTTCAGCAGAGAAAAGTTTGGATGTTTCTAGAGGAACTTTGCTAGGCTACTGGGCAGAGGGGGCTGGGCACTGACCACGTGTGGCTTCCCTAGCCTGAGGCCCTCAGGACCACACGCCGTGCTGCCCGCTCCCCGCCCGGCTCCCTTCATATCGCCTGGCTACAGCGGCACAAGAAAGCAGAAAGCCAGGTAACCCGGTTCCAATCCTCAGTGCCTGTGCCATTTTAGGCAGATCAGTCAACCTCTCGGAACCTCAGTTCCTTCATCTGTAAAAAGGGAATAATAATAATAATACCTACCTCACTGGGTAACTGTGAAAATTAAATGAGATAATCACCAAGCAGTGCCCTGACCGGTTTGGCTCAGTGGATAGAGCGTCGGCCTGCAGACTGAAAGGTCCCAGGTTCGATTCCGGCCAAGGGCATGTACCTTGGTTGCGGGGCACATCCCCAGTAGGGGGTGTGCAGGAGGCAGCTGATCGATGTTTCTCTCTCATCGATGTTTCTAACTCTCTATCCTTCTCCCTTCCTCTCTGTAAAAAATCAATAAAATATATTAAAAAAATAAAATCACCAAGCAGCGCATGGCATGCAGGGGTGCTTAATAAGTGTTCGTCTTTTTCTCTTTTCCTGAAGCACAAGTGCTGATAAGATGGCTCTCCCCTCACTGCCCGTCTTGACCTGACATCATTGTCCTCAAAAGCCAGCAGCTGGCACAACTGCCACCCCACAGCACCCCCTCCTGGGCAAAATGAGTCAAGAGGTCCCTGCCAGCTTCCCGTTCCCCTTAGGGTGGTGCAAGCCTCACCCGCCAGGGCAGGTCAAGGGCTTCTAGAACAGTCCTCTGGACTCAGGAAAGGTCTGGGGCTGGGACTGTGGCAGAGAGCTGGCTGGCACTTCCGGTGTCAGTCAGGGGGTGGCAGCCCTGCTACCCTCTATCAGTGACTCACGGGCACAGGTGGGACAGCAATGCTGAGGCCCCGGGGGCAGGAGCTGGCTGGCAGGGCAGCCCACCAGGCTGGGACACTGCCGTCGGTGACAGCGAAGGCTGGGAGGCCCCTCGGGCTGCAGCTGCAACAGGAATGAGTGAGCAAGGGCTGGGCCCCAGACCCCTCCGTGTGCCTGCAACACCTCCTCAACAGCCCCCAGACTGGCTCCTCACCCCTAATCCCCAGCGATGATTTCCCTTTCCCTTTCCAGTCATTGGGCCTGAACCTTCTGTGACATTTGACCCTCCTGTACTCTCATGCCACCCTTTTCCCAACCCCACTGCCTGCTCCCCATTGATGGAGATTCTCAGTGGCCCCAACCACTTCCCAGGTGTCTCCTCGCCCATCCTATTCACACCCACTCTACACTCCTGCCAGAAGGGCCTGCCCACTGCCTCCCCACAGTCAGCAGCAGTGCCACGGCTAACCCCAGACTTCTGGGCCCTGCTGGCTGTTCGCCCCAAGCTCTGCCTCACCTCCTGGCCACTGGGACACTCTCCTGTCTCTGACCCTCCTAGTGCCTGCTGCCCGCAGTGTCCAGGCTGCCCCCATGGTGCCCCACCCCTCAGCATGGCCCTCACCCACCTCACAGATGCACACTTCACAGGGGTCTGCCCCAGGCTGGAAGCTGTCCCCTGGCTCATACTTCCGGCCTTCATGCTCACAGTCTTGGGGGTGGGGTAAGAGCAGAATAGGACCAGGAAGCCTTCAGGCTGGCAGCAATGCCAGGGGTGGGGTTCTCTGTCCCCCAGGGACCCCAGCCCCCAGGATTGGGGTGTGTACAAAAAAGGAGCCACTTCTGGAAAGGCTGGTCTCTGCCGCCCCACCCAGTGTCAAGGCAGGGAGATGCTGACCAGGCACTACCTCCCTGCCACCCACCCCACCCCAGGCTCCCAGTACCAGAGCATCGAGGGCAGCAGTCACTGGGCCCCTGGCGGGGATGGGCACAGGAGCTGACGCACTGGACTCGGGCGCAGGTGACAATACCCTCGCGACACATGCAGGAGGAGCAGGGGCTGTCCGGAGGCTCCCAGCTACTGCCTTCAGGGTGCTCCTCCCCGTGGGCCAGGCAGCCTGTCCCAGGTGGGCAGGGGTGACTCTGAGTCTGGGTTCTGTATGCCCCCGATGGCCCACCCTGGGTGGTCAGCAGGGCCTGGGGTCTGGCCTAGGAGGGGATCTGCAGGGGTGAGGTGGGGAGGTGGCCTGGCAGAACTGCTGTCTGCGGTGGAGGAAAGACAAGGCTGGGCTCGGAACTCCTGGGCTGTAATCCCTGGCACGTCAGCTTGCTAAACCCAAGGCCAGGCAGCAGGCACTGCCTGTGGTAGCCCAGCATCAGCACCAGTACCTGGGATGCAGCAGGCACCTAATACATGCATGCAGAGTGAATGAAAGGTAACTCAATCTCTCCCAGACTCAGACTCCATAGCTGTTAAATAGAATTTCCTCTGTGCTGCCCCCGCACAGTGAGATGCTGTCATGGTTCTGGAATCTAAGCCATGCTGGGCAGAGGGCAGGTCAGAAAGGCTCCTATTCAGGCAACCTAGAAGCAAAGGTTGTCTCTGCCACCTGCCAGTTATATTACCTCTCTGCACCTCAGTTCTCCCATCTGTGAAATAGGAATAATAATCATAGTGCCTCCCTGCTAAGATCTTTGTGTGGATTAAAGTGCTTAGTTCCTGGTATATGCTCCGTAAATGTGATGATGATGATGAATGGGGTGTGGTTAGGCAGGGGGCAGCTTTGAGGGGGCTCTACTAAGCCTCTGGAGGGGGAGATGGTCTGGGCAGGCCAGGGGCAGGGCCAGGTAAGAAGAGCTGAAGGAGGACAGCGGTGAAGTCTCAAGACAGAGGTGTGGGAGGGCAGTTGGGTGGGCAGGGAGGTGGGAAGACAGGAGGGGAGTTTGAGGGAACGGAGGTGGGGCAGATGGAGGCGCATTGGGACCAGGGGCAGAAGCAAGGGGCAGCCCCACCGGCCAGGCACACCTCTGCAGCGAGGGCAGCAGCTCCCCTGCTCGGTGACCTGGAGTGGGCAGGACAGGGGTGGGCACCGCAGCCGCACACAGCTGACGTGGCCGGCCTGCAGAAGATGCTGTGTCAGTGACTTATTCCCTAGGCTGGGTGCCCTAGAGGCAATGTGCCCAGCCAGCACCCCAGGCCCCTCTGCCACCTCCCTGCCATACCTGACAGCGACACCGCTCGCAGCTGCCTGAGGGCCCCTCAAACTCCTCCCCATCCTGGTGCTCCCGGCCCCGAGAGAAGCATCCTGTGGGCGACATGCTTTCTGGGTGGGACGCTGTGCCACCTTGCCCTGTCCAACCTCAGGCCTGGCAAAAGGCAAGGAGGAGGGGCCGGGAGGGGCCCCGGGGGCCTGGGTGTGGGGAAGGCAGCTCACTGTGGCACACAGGGCAGGAGCAGGGGCCTGGGGAGGGGTGAGGGCAGAGAGCAGGTGGACATGGCTTCTTCTGGCAGCGCATGGAACCTTCCTGGGGAGAGAGGTCACACTGCCACTTCCTGATCCCCATGTAATTACACCCTCAACCCAGGCTTCACACTGCCCCAAGATGGGGCACCCCCACCGGGCCTGCCAGGCGCAAACCCCCCTGGCTTGGCCAGGAGGCCTGAGTCCAGTCCTGTCCCACTTGTCACAGGCAGAGGTGGCCTGTGAGACTGGGGTGGAAGAAATAACCCGGCCAGAAAGGAGGGTCAGGGGTGAAGGTTCCCGGGTTCCCCAAGGGCCACCTCACCTGGCAGGTGCACAGGGAGCAGGTGGGGTCCAGTGGGTCAGGGAGGGTCTCTCCTAGGGCAGCAGTGACTCCATGATAGAGGCATCCTGGCAGAGCAGGGAAGGCAGTGGGAGAGCTGCTGTCAACAGAACCGTCTCCTGCCTCACACTCACACTCACACTCACACGCTCTCACACATATACACTCACACTCACATATACTCACAATACCATACCCTCACACTCATACTTTCACACACACACATACTCTCACACATATACTCTCACACACATACACGCTTACACACGTACACTCACACTCATACTTTCACACACACATACTCTCTCACATACACTCACGTACATACACACTCTCACACACACATACACACACGCACACACAGCCGGCCTGGGACCTCTCAAAGCTTACGGGTCTGAGAGGGAGAGAGGGTGGCTGGGAAGGTGGGTGAGGAGAGGCTTCAGCGGGCTGTAAGTGGTGAGCTTTGCACGCAGGGAGGCGGTGGAGCATGGAGGTGGGCTCACAGAGGAAGGTGAGCGATGGGCGGGGCCCCGAGGCACCCAGGGCAGTGGGAATAGTTTTGAGTGATGTGCTGTTTTAGGAAGGCAGCAGGACAACGTAAGAGCAGAAAGGTCTGGAAGCACAGGAACCAGTTATTTGGTGAGCCCAACACCAGTGAGAGGGGACAGCAGGGACAGAGGACACAGACAGTGGAGGCGCGTGATGGAAACGCAGGGTGTGGGTCTGCAGGGCGGCTGTCTCGTGCCTCTGGGCTGCTGGAGGTCCAGAAGGGGCGGGGCGGTGGGAGGGCAGGCGTTGCCCTACCCTGGCAGGTGGGGCAGCAGTGCCCAGATGGGATGAGCGGGTGGCTGCAGCCCAGAGGCTCACAGGGTCTGCGGCCGCAGGTCACAAAGCCTTCCAGGCAGGTACACAGGTTGCAGGGCGCTCGGGGCTCTGGGAACTCCTGGCCGCTCAGGTAGGACTCCCCAAAATACTCACAGCCTTGAAGAGAGGACAGGGAGAGGCAGGGTGGGGTCAGGAAGGGGTGAGAGGACAGCAGTCACCACTGTAAGCTTGCCCCTGGCCTGAGTCCAAGGCCTCAGAGACATGGCCACGGTGGGGAGGGAGGCCTCCATCCAGGCTGACGGACACAGAAGTGGAGAGTTGGACTGGCCAAAGGGCAAACTTTCTCCAGTTCAGCTGGCAGAAAACTCTTCCTGTCCGTCCCAATCTATAGGGAAAACCCACACGGAATCTGTCCCTAGGGTTGAATGCCCAGCAGGCCACTGCCCAGCCAGAAGGCACCATTTTTTCCAACCTGGCCTTAGAGCTGGGAGATGCTTGAGATGACTTAGGTGGCCTGGACCCAAGGCATCCCCTTTCCAATGCTCTTTCAAGCCCTCTGATCAATCAAGGAGGGGCCGGGGCCCAGGGTGGGGCAGCTTGCCCTGAGTGGCTGACACTTTCTGACCTTTTTGAAAAAGAAGGCACTTTGGGTGATAATGACCTGTCAGTGTGAGCTCATCAACTGTAACCAATGTACCGCCCTGGTGGGGGGCCCTGGTAATGAGGGGGGGGGGCAGGATATATGAGAAGAATCTACACCTTCCTCTTAATTTTGCTGTGAACCTAAAACTTCTCTTTAAAAGAAAAAGTCAGTAAAAATGAGAAACAGGAGGTGAGTCTCAGGCTCAAAGCCTTAGAAGGCAAAAGTATCTGACTTGAATTTAATATTTGATTTTCAATTGTATTCACTTTAATGGTAATATTCTACTTCTTGAAAATCTAGTTTTCCATTTACAGTATGATATAAAGGTTCCTTTCTAAATAAATTTCAATTTAAAATTCCAATTTGAAGAAAAACACTAAATAAATAAAGTTACAGGTGGTAGAGGGTATTAGAAACAACTGCTAAGATAATAAACAGGAGTGACTGAAGACTGGGGAACTGGTCTTGTTCAACTCTCTTTTTTTACAGGAGTTAAGATTAGGCCCAGAGTCACACTTAAAAATGGTTGAGATGGTAAATGTTATGTTGTGTTTTTTCAAACATTGACAGAAATTAGGCTCAGAGAGGTTATGTAACTTGCCCAAGGTCACACAGCCAAACAGCATCAGAGGCAGCAGCAAACCCAGGCTTTCGTCCAGGGCTTCTTCTTTCTTAGTGTAATAAGAATGGGGCCCTCTCCAGGCCAGTGAGGATGACCCTGACCCAGCCCTCCCGCCTCGCCCACCCCCTGTCCCTGCCCCTCACCGTCACAGGCAGGGCAGCAGTCGCCCCTGGCAGGGAAAGGACACTGGGCAGGGGCACAGGCCCTGGGCTCGCAGCTGACGCTGCCCTCCAGGCAGAGGCAGTGGTGGCACCGCACTGTGGGCGACGGGAAGCGCTCCCCGCTGGCCAACTCCGTCCCCTCATACAGGCAGCCTAGGGGGCGGGGACCGGCAGGGCGAGGGGCTGTGGTGGCTGTCTACCAGGCCCACCGCCTCCCGGGCACGGCCCCCCCAAATCCTGAGGGGGGGGGCAGGCCAGGAGGAGGGGGAGGCGGGGTGGCGCCCAGGCTGGAGCTGGGGAAAGGCGGCCAGGTGTCAGCGGGTGACCACACCGGGGAGGCTCCGCCCGGAGGTGGAGGCAGGGGTGGCGGGGCGCTGCGGGCCAGGGCGTTACCGTCGCAGGAGGGGCAGCAGGGCCCCTGGCGCGGGTGGGCGCAGGGCGCGGGCGGGCACGGCAGGCGCTGGCAGGACACGGAGCCGTCCAGGCAGAGGCAGCGGTGGCAGAGGTCCCCCGGCAGGAAGAAGTGCTCCTGGTGGCGCACGGGCTCCAAGCCCCCAGGCCTCGGGCAGCTGGAGGGGGAGGCTGAGGCCAGACGGCATGCATCCTGGGGGCCCGGGAGAGGCTGCAGAGCCCCCAACCCCGGGGAGGCGCGGCCCGGGGTGCAGCTCTCACCTGGGCACTGCGGGCAGCACTCTCGGGGCAGCAGGACCGGCTCCGCACAGGGCAGCGGAGGGCAGCGGCGGGCCAGGCACTGCACGTTGCCGCTCTGCGTGGACAGAGGCACCGCGGCGCAGGGTGAGTGCTGGAGGCAGAGGTGACCGCCACCCTTCCCTGCCCACCGCGTGGACTGCTCCTGGCCGCCCCCAGCCCCACCCTGCTCCCCTGACTGCTCCCACCCCGGCGGACTCACCAGACAGTGACACAGGCGGCAGGGGTCAGAGGGGTGGGGGAAGTCTGCTCCGTGGGGGTACTCTTTCCCGCCGAAGGCACAGCCTGGGGGAGGGGCAGCTGGAGGCCGGGGAGAGGCCCTGCTTGCCCCAGGTCATGCCCTCCCAGCCCCAAGTGCCCACAGGAGGGGCCAAGCATCCCAGGAGACCCCCTTCCTGTCCGCCTCACCATGACAGTCGTTGCGGCAGCAGGGACCAGGCAGCGGGTGGGCACAGGGCGGCTTGGGGCAGGCCCGAGGCTGGCAGCGGGCGTGGCCCTCCTGACACCAGCACTCCTGGCAGGGGTCTCGGGGGTGGGAGAAGCTCTCGCCGTGCGCAAACACTTGTTCCTCCAGGACACAGTCTGGGCAGGGGGTGGGGAGGAATGGGGACAAGACTGAAGGCGCCAGGAGCCGGCAGACAGCTCCTCTCCCCTTGGAGCCCCGAGCTATGGTGGAAGCCGTCCCCACAGAAGGAGAGGAGGGGGCTGTGATGCAGGCATGGGTGTCTCTCTGAGCACACACGTGTGTGTATGTGTGAGCGTGTGCACACACGCGTGTGTACAGTCCTTTCACCTGCAGGCACATGTGTGTGCCTTGAAGGTGAAAAGCTGAAGGGCTCCTGAGTGCCACACGCCCTAGCACACTCTCCAGGGGGCAGGGGCGGGGCACACTGCGTTCCAGCACCCCGTCTCCCTCAGGGCACATCCAAACGTGTGTGGCATGAACGTGGTGTGTGGCATGAATGTGGTGTGTGGCGTGAACGTGGTGTGTGGCATGAACGTGGTGTGTGGCATGAACGTGGTGTGTGGCATGAACGTGGTGTGTTACACGGGCAGATAGACAAAGATATCTGAGTGGTGCGGGGCGGGAAGAGGAGACTTGGATGGGAAAGAAGGGTGACGTGGGGACATGAAGGAGAAACAAGTCTCCCTCCCACCCACGCCCTGTGCCTTCCAAGCTTCGCCAGGCTGAGCCTTGAGAAGGCCGTGGCTTTCTAAGGGGACTGCTGTGCCCAGGGGGTAGTGGGAGGGCCAGGCCTAGGTCCCCCGAGCCAGACAGGTCCAGTGAGCATGTACCTGGGCACCTGGGGCAGCACTGGCCTGGTCCACTCTGGGGCCTGGCGCATGGTGTGGGTGGACAGTCAGCCAAGGAGCACCTCACGGTCCCGTCCTGGGAGTGGGAGAGAGGGCAGAGGGGATCAGCCCTGGGAGGGGCTCAGAGGGCAGCAGCCAGCCTGGGGGGTACCTCGCATCGGCAGGCGTGGCAAGGGCTGTCTGTGTCCGTGAAGTTCTGCCCGTTGGCATACACTTGGCCATGGTAGGTGCAGCTCTCACAGCTGGGGCAGCAGGCGCCTGGGCGGGCAGATCGGTCAGAGCCCAGCTGATCAGGGCGGGTGGGGCACAGCGGGGGTGGGGGGGTGGGGGGGTGGAAGGCAGATCAGGGCGGGGCACTCACCAGGTGTCTGGGTGGGGTGCTGGCAGGGGGCTGGGGAGCAGAGCACAGCCCCGCACACGGGCACCCCGTCTTGGCAGGAGCAGGCTGTGCAGGGCTGACCATCAGGCTCCCACTGGACGCCATCAGCAAACTCCTCTCCACCAAGCACACAGGCTACAGCAAGGGGGCCGTCACCATGGCAACCTAGACACCTCCACCCGCCCTCCCCTTCCCAGGACCCCAGCTTTACCACCCACACAGCAGCCTCTGAATATACGCTGGGAGGGTTGGTGGCCTTAGCAAGGCCCCCCCTTTACTTGAAGGAACACCCCTCCACCTCCAGCCACTGGAAGCAGCGCCCCTTTGCCGCTGTTTCTCCCCTTCCCCCACACACACCTGAGCACAGCTGGGGACCAGAGTCTGGCAGGGTGCAGGGGGCGACCGGGCACTCCTGCTCCTCACAAGAGACCTCGCCGGCCTAGGAGGGAGGGACACTGGGTGAGAGGCCCTCAGGAAGGCCGATCTGGGGCGTGAGACCAGGCCGCCTACCTGGCAGGAGCAGCGCAGGCAGCGGCCACCCTCTTGGAGTCGGAAGGTCTCCTGGCTCTGATAGTGGTGTCCCTGGTACTCACAGCCTGGACAGGAGGGTGGGGGACAGGACTGGAGGCTGACGGGCACGCCTCACTCCCCCTGACATCTACCTCCCACCCTGATGAGGACAGCCACCTTCAGGGGTCCCGGCCAGCCCCACACCCCCAGGAGCCAGGGCCCCACCACAGTGCCCGTGTGCCATGAGAAGGGGACCTAGTCCCTCCTGGTGGGGACAGGAGCTTAGTTCCATAAAGGATTTCCTCTGGACTTGAACTCAAGGGGGCCTCCTGTAGGCCCAAGGCAGCAACGGCACCCACCGGCCAGGGACTCTCTGGCCAGGGCCTGCCCCTCACCCAGGGCCTGCAGCCTCCCACTCACCGGCACAGACGGGGCAGCACTGCCCGGGGAGCCTGCCAGGGTGTCTACAGGGCGCAGCCGGGCAGGGCAGGGGCTCGCACTGGACGCTCCCGTTCTGACAACAGGGCCTGGTCAGCATTGGAGAGGCGGGCCCGGGGGCCAGGCCCTCCCTGCGGGGCGGCCACACTCACAGCACAGCGGCAGTGCGAGCAGGGGTCCCCGGAGCCCACCGGCTCCCCGCTGCGGTACTCCCGTCCGTTTAGGAAACAGCCTGTTGGGGAGAGGGTGCCTTAGACCCTCCTCAGGGGTCCCCCACTGCCCCAAGTCCTGGACTTCGTGGGAGACCGAGCCTGGGCCCTCAATCAGCTTTGGAGCCCCTCCAGGCTCCACCCACGGACTCACCATCGCACACGGGGCAGCAGGTGCCCGGGAGGGGCCGGGCAGGGTATGGGCACAGGCTGGAGCATTCTCGCTGGCGGCACTGGATTTGGCCCTCCTGGTAGGGGCGGCGGATGAGGCCATCAGAGCTCAGCCACGTGGCAGAAACAGCATTTGTGTCCCAGCTACCCACTCATTAGACGTTGTTATGAGTGGAATTGTGTCCCCCACAGACACAAATTCATCTGTTGAAGTCCTACCCTCCATCGCCCTGCACCTCAGAATGTGACTTATTTGGAACTAGGGCTGTTGTAGAGGTAGAGTTAAGGTGAGGGTCTTGCCAGGGTGGGGTGGCCTCTAACCCAATGCCTGGTGTCCTTGTGAAAAGGGGAAATTTGGACACCCCCCCCCCCACATAAACACATACACACACACACACACATAAACACATACACACACGCACATAAACACATACACACACACGCACATAAACACACACACAAACACATACACACACACAAACACATACACACACATACACATAAACACACACACAAACACACACACATACACACACATAAACACACACATAAACACATACACACACATACACACGCACATAAACACACACACACACACGGGAAGCAGCACGTGAAGATGAAGGCAGAAGCCTAGGAACACCACAGCGTGAACCGCCGGAAGCCAGGAGAGAGGCCGGAGCAGATCCTCCCTCACAGCCCTCAGAGGGGACCAACCCTGACCGCACCTTGATCTCAAACTCCTGGCCTCCAGAACCACGAGACAACACGTTTCTGTTGGCTAAGCCACTCCATCTGTGGCACTGTGTCATGGCAGCCCTAGGAAACTCATGTAGATGTATAACCTATCTTGCTACGTAAGTCCTCTGTGACTCAGTTTATTCGTTGGGAAAAAAAGACACACTCTGGCCGGTGCTCAATGGTTAGAGCGTCGGCCGTCAGGCTGAAGGGCCCCGGGTTCAACTCCTGGTCAAGGGCATGTACCTTGGTTGCAGATTGATACCCAGGGCACGTGTGGGAGGCGACCAATCAATGTCTCTCTCTCACATTGATATTTCTCTCTCTCCCCCACTTCCCTCCACTCTTTCTAAAAAAAATAATCAATTGAAAAAATATCCTTGGGTGAGAATATAAAATAAAAAAAGAGAGATAATAACATTCCTCTCCTCATAGCCCCGTTATGGGCTTGAGGTGAGGTGTCTGGTGAGGCGTCAACCTCTGGAAGCTGGCAGCGACCCAACAGCAGCTGCTGCTACTCCCCCTGGCCTTGGCCACCTAGACCAGCCCTGGAGCTCACACCCACACCTGGACGCACCGCCTCTAGCACCATTAGTGTCTGGGCAGCCAGTGACTCTTCTCACAGGTGTGTGCGGGGCCAGTGGGAACAGGGAGGGAAGCACATGGTTGTAGAGGGTCCACGGCCTTCACAATGGGCTCCTTAGTCCTTGGCAGGCTGTGCTCTGTGGCTGGCTTCAGGCCCATGAAACAGCCTTCCTCCACATGCCCCTGCCTGAACCGTAGTTCTCCGGTCCCCACCTTCCTCCCCCAGGTTCTGCCCCGATGTCCCTACACCTGGTGTCTCCTCCGCTTGGGCTGCTGGAAGTCCAAGATCAAGGTACCAGCAGTTGGGAGAACCTGCTTTCTGGCTCATAGACGGCTGTTTTCTTGTCCTCACATACAGGGGGTGGGGGGGTGGGGGGGGGAGGGGCGGTGCTGAAGCCCTAAGGGCGTGATCCCCATTCCAGGGGTCCTCAAACTACGGCCCGCGGGCCACATGCAATACAAATATTGTATTTGTTCCCGTTTTGGTTTTTTTACTTCAAAATAAGATATGTGCAGTGTGCATAGGAATTTGTTCATAGTTTTTTGTTAAACTGTAGTCCGGCCCTCCAACGGTCTGAGGGACAGTGAACTGGCCCCCTGTTTAAAAAGTTTGAGGACCCCTGTCCCATTCCCTCAGCTCCTAAGCGCCTCCCAGAGGCCCCACCTCCTAATACCATCACCTTGGAGGTTAGGATTTCAGCACATAAAGGGGGGGTGGGTCTCAAACATTCAGCCCATAAGCCCTGGAGCGTCTGTCCCCACTTCCCCCGCCCACCACCCCGCTTAAATCCTACTCACCCTCCAAGACCCAGGTAAACACCACCCTCCATGAAGACTTTCTAGAGCTGTGCTGCCCCACAGAAATACAACACAAGCCACGTAGGTCACTGTAAACTCTCTAGTAGTCACATTCCAAAAAACAGAAACAGGTGAAACTAGATGTTAATGTTCCACTCAACCCAATATATCCAGAATGTTATTTCAATGTGTGATCGGCACAGCGTATGATGAGATAGCGTGCCCTCCTTTCTCTCGCACTCCGTGTTTAAACTGGTGTGTATTTTATTCTGAAAACCCCTCTCAGATCGGATGGCCACATCTCAAGGGCTCAGTGGCCACATGCCATTGTGGCAACTGATCAGACCTCGAAGTCCCAGACACCTCAAACCCGTCTGCGTCTCGCCCTCCCGGGCCTGTCCCACCGGCCACATCCTGCCTGGCCTCACTCCTCTAGCTGCAAGCTCCTTGACTTCAGTTCACCAACCCATGCTGCACCCATGCGCTGCTCAGAGCTGGGCATGCAGACGGGCATGACCCCGCCCCAGATCAGGCCCTTTCCACCCCTGACCCCTCACAATGACTTTGGGATGTGCTCAGTGGAATGAAGGCCGAATATGGTGGGCCGGGTGCGGGGGCGGGGGGGGGGGGCAGGAGCAGGTCGGGGCTCACCAGGCACTGGCAGAGCCGGCAGGGGTCCCCAGGTGTAGTCCATTCTTGGCCGTGCTCCCGGCGAGAGCCACCTTCTGTGCAGCCTGGGGCTGGGGGGAGAGGGGCAGAGAGGAGGCCCGATGGGAGCCAGCCTGGACCCCAGTTTCAGTCTGCCCCCCCTCTCCTCTGAGCCCAGGCTAGACCAGGTCATGCCTCTGCCTAGACCGCTCTTGGCTGCCAGCGTCCCAAGCTGGGCAAGGCCACACTCCTGGCCTGCCTTCCACACCTTCCAGGACCTGGCGTGCCACGCCCACTCCCCCGCCTCCCGTGTGAGATCTGTCTGCTTGCACCTTCCCACCTACCATCCACCAAACTCCCTCTTGAGTGTCGGTCCCAAACCTCTGCTCTAGCTCCCCCCTCTTCCTGGGATGGATCTCGACTTACTCCACCCTCCACCTGGCCAACTGCTCTTTATCCCCAAGGTTCACTCAGGACGCTTGCCCTCCTGAGCCCACCTGGGCTAGGACTCCTCCCCCTGAGTTTCCATGGAACCTGGTGCCTGCTTCCACTCCTGCTTTGGAGACAGTCTTGGTGTGTGACGCAGTGTCACCCTCTAGTGGTCTGCCCAGGGCCCACCGGGTCTTAGGTGCACACAGTAGGTACTAGTCAGCATTATTAAGGTAGCATATCATTACCCACACCCCACGGACGGGGAACTGCACAGAGCAACTCACTCAGAGGCCCCACCACAGTGTGGTACGGACAGAATCTGAGCTCCCGGACCCCCAGGTCCGAGCCAGCAGGGTGGGCTCCGAGTGAGGAAATGACGTGACAGCCCTGCCTGGAGCCTCCTAGGGAAGAGCCAGGGCTCACCTGGGCAGGCCGGGCAGCAGTGGCCAGGCCTCAGGACTGGCTCAGGGCAGGGGCTGGCCGGGCACTTCATGGGCACACAGCGAACCAGGCTCCTCTGTAACGTACCAACAGCTGTAAAGCCTCTGGGTCTGGCTCCCAGAGAGAACACGGCAGGCAGGTGTGGGCACCCTTGGGAGGTGGGCACAGGTCAGGCAGAGAGTGAAAGGCCCGGAATACATGTGAGGCTGAGAGCAGGGGACCTCCCAGGAGGAGCAGGGCCTGGGCAGAGGGTGCAGGGACTCACCAGGCAGGAGCACTGGAGACAAGGGTTGGAACTGGACGGGAAGCTGGCCCCCTCTTCGTAAAGCTGCCCCTCGTACTCACAGCCTGGGGAGGGTGCCAGGATGACAGGCTGGTCAGGTGAGAGCGGGGTGAGCAGGCATCACCCCCAGGAAGGCATGACCCCAAATAGGTGCCGGACCCTCGGGGCTGAGGGGGTGGAGGGAAGGCAGGGTGGGGAGGTCACCTGGCCGGCAGACGGGGCAGCACTCCCCCGGTGGGGTGTAGCTCTCCAGGCAGGTGAGCTCTGGGCACGAGGGCCCCTGGCACCGCACGGTCCCTGCCTGTGGGGCAGACACTGAGCCCTCCCTCCCTCCCTCTCTCTCCACTGCAGGTTCCTGGGAGCTACTCCGCTGGCCTGGCAGGCCTAGCGGGCTCCGGGCCTCGATGCCTGGGTGGCAGCAGCAGCCCTGGCAGGCCCCAGGTTGGGGTGGCGCTCCCAGGCCTGGGGGTTACCAGCAGAGCAGCAGGGACCTGGGTGGTGGTGGTGGGTGGGGACAGGCTCTGATCCCTTACCTGGCAGGTGCAGGTGACACAGGGCTCGGGTTGCCACGTCTCCCCAGCCCCGGGACCTTCAGGGCAGCCTACAACACCAAGGCCCGTCCCCCAGTAAGAGACCCAGAGGCTGTGGCCAGAGCACCCGGGAGGGCCCCGTGACAAGGGAGCACCTTCGGGTGGTGGATGGCAGAGATCTTGGTATTTACTTCCACTTTCCAGGAAATGGCAGTAAAGCGTCTGACTCTAACACAATCAGTCGATTTCCATTATTTACAGCTGATGGAAGTGTTGAGGAAGGGGTGCTTTTAAAAGATGTTTTTTTTAAAATTTCTTTTTATTTTTAGAGAGAGAGAAGAAGGGAGGGAGAGAGAGAGGGAACATCGATCGGTTGCCTCCCATATGCACCACAACTGGGAATCAGACCCAAAATCCGGGCATGTTCCCTGACCGGGAATCGAACCGGCGACCTTTTGGTGCATGCGACCCCGCTCAACCAACTGAGCCACACCGGCCAGGGCGGGGTGCCTTTTTAAAAAATATATATTTTTCTTGATTTCGGAGAGGAAGGGAGAGGGAGAGAGAGAAACGCCAATGATGAGAGAGAATCATTGATTGGCTACCTCCTGCAGGCCCCCTGCTGGGGATTGAGCCCACAACCCGGGCACGTGTCCTTGACTGGAATCGAACCTGGGACCCTTCAGTCCGCAGGCTGATGCTCTATCCATTGAGCAACACTAGCCAGGGCAGGGTGTCTTTAACAAAAAAAAAATCCACCCCTCACAGGGTGATCTGATCATGAATTCCTAACTGGGCAGATCGTGATGGGTAGTAATGCCCAGGCATATAACTTCTTAGTAAAAAACTTACATATTTTTTCTTTTTTTGGTGGTGGTGGTGGTGGGGGGATCTTTGCTTTTATTGTGCCACTAGGTTAACACACTTTTGAAATAAGCCAAAACCACCCTCAAGAGAGCACATAATCTTAACTATCTTGGAATCCAATTCCTGCCTTGGTTTCTCCAACCTTCCTTATCTCCCCTCCTTAATTTCAAATGCATTAAAGAAGCTGCAAATCTGTTATGCGCCAGAACATTTGAGAGCTTGCTCCTTGGCTTATGTCATCAGTTTGGCTCAAACACACTCTTATAAAAATTATTTATGTGTCTGGATGTTTCTTGTGTTGACAAGATAAACAAATCATACTTGTTTAGTGTATGTTCCACGTTGCATACTTACACTAATAAAGTATGGCTTGCTTATCTGAAATTCAAATCTAACAGGGCATCCTGTGTTTTTATTTGCTAAATCCGACAACCCAGTCTCCCTGATCATGAGCTGGCAACAAGCCCCAGCAGCATGGCTTCCGCTTCCTCCCAGCTCTCTTCATCTCGCTGGCACCACTGCCCTTTCCGTGGGATCCAACCCGTCACCAGCTCCTTCCCGTTCTTTAGAAATACCCCTCCTTCTATAGCCCATGGCCATCCCTGACTCCGCTTTACAGTCCCCTAATTGGTCACTCTGCATCTAGCATATGCCAGATGACTACTCCTAAAACAGCTCTTTGAACATGCCACACTCTGGCTCTTCAACTCTCCGTGGCTCCCTATTGCCCACAGAAGGAAGTTCAAACTGCATGGCTTCCAGCAATCTGTTCCCACTGGCCTTTCCAAACTGATTTCCTGCAACCTTCCCCCCCCGCCCCGCCCCCCAATCTTGTGTCCAAAGGACCCTGCAGCACTGTCTCTTTTTGGTGACATCCCACTTTCACTTGAAGATCTAGCTCAGACAACCCATTGGCACCTGATCTGGGTAGGAGTCCCTGCCAATTACTGCCTTTCTACACCTCCTTTTAATCTGTTCACTGGATTTTTTTTACTTTATTGATCTTAGAGAGAGAGGGAGGGAGAGAGAGAGAGAGAGAAACATTAATTTGTTGTTCCATTTATGTATGCATTCATTTGTTGATTCTTGTATGTGTCCTGACTGGGGATCAAACCCACAACCTTGGCATATGGGGACAACACTCTAACCCAGCGGTCGCCAGCCAGTGGTTCTCAGAACACTGGTGGCCCGTGAGGTCTGAAAGGTTGGTGACCGCTGGACGGGGCAGGGAGGCTGGGGGCAGGTGGAGGTACCTAGTGGCCCAGAGCTGACCTGCAGGAGGGGCTGCCTAGAGCAGCGATTGCCAACCGGTGGCCCATGAGGTCTGAAAGGTTGGCGACTGCTACTCTAACCAACTGGGCTACCAGCCAGGGCGTGTTCATTGATCTTGTATCTTCTCAGTAAGACCAGAAGCTCCCAGAGGGCAGTTGTAGCCCCAGGCCACAGTCAGGGTATTGCTGACTGTGCTTCAGTTCTGGAGCCCTCTAGCCCTGCCAGATCGAGTGGGCAGGCACCCTCTGGGCCTGTGGCAGGTGGCAGGTGGCAGACCATGGCCCCGGGGCCCCAGAATAAGGTTGGGAAGTAGGGCTGGGGCTGGCAGGAGGCTGACCTGGCTCACAGTGTGGGCAGCATGCTCCTGGCTCCGGGCAGGGTCCCCTTGGGCATGGCTTCTGGGTACAGGCGATGGCGCCTTCCTGTGGGGAGGCAGATGGGTGGAGCACCGGCACCACAAGCCTGGAGGGTGGGGCCTCCAGGACCAAAACCTCCCCCAGGCTGGGGCCTGCCAGGGCAGCAAGAGGCTGAGTCTACTCAAGGGTCATGGGCGACTCCTGGTCCAAGGGCAGAAAAGAGACATCCGACCCCCAACCCCATCACTTCCCTGGTCCCAGAAATCATCTCTCCCAGGTGCCACCAAATTCCCAGAGTGGAGAGATCCTAGGAGGGGACCAAGACCTTCCTCAACGAAAGAGTGAGGAACAGGCCGGGAGAAGGTGGCTCTGGAGGCAGGTGAGGGCGAACAGGTGGATAGATGACAGGGGCAGATGGACGAGCCCGGACAGTGAGAGTCCACAGGAGAGGGGTGATGCAGGAAGCCAGGCAACAGCATTCTCTTTGCCCTCCATGTGCATGGGGGTTGAGCCCCAGAAAGTAAAACTACTGAGAATCAGCTGAAGGCCACCAGTGGCCAGGCTTGGGGGTAGGGACAGGGAGGCAGCTAAAGGGAGGCAGCCAGGTAAAGGGGACAGGTATGGGACATTCAGGTGGGTCATGGAACTCACCAGGCAGCGGCAGGTGGTACAGGCGTCGGGGGAGAAGGTCTCCCCATTGCCATAGGCCTGACCATTGTGGCTGCAGCCTGGGAAGGAGATAGTGCTGTCACTCAGGCCCATCTCCAGGCCCCGCAGCGGTGCAGCAGGCAGGTGGGATGGCACTCACCACGGCACTGGGGCAGGCCAGGCCTGGGGCCACAGAGCGCAGCCCCACCCTGGCAGACGCAGGCTGTGCAGGCGTCAGGCTCCCAGCGAGCCCCCTCAGGCCAGGCCCGCCCCAGAGCCCAGCACTGGGGAGAAGCGGGCCGGCATTCGCAGGACTCCAGCTGCCTCACCCTCTCCTGCAGGTCCTTGTTCTGGAGCAAAGAGTTGGGGGGTTGGAGGTGCTGGCTCAGCTTCCCCCACAGACTTGTGGGTTGTGAAAACTGAGGCAGCATGAGAAGGAAATCTGACAGGTCCAGGTAGACGTGGGTCCCTCTCTAGTCAGTCAGCATCCAGCTCAAACCGTCACAGTTCTCACGACCTGAGGTCTGGATCGGACCCCAGGGGGGCATGGGGCCCCCAGGCTTCTCCTTTGGACAGAGGAGAGCCCATCCTCCCACCCCAACAATTGAAGTCCTTTATTCATTCAAAATCTTTCCTGGGGCTTTATATACACTTATATAGGTGCTCTATAATGTTTGCAAATACATGAAAGAATATGAAGGTCTGGGTTGACAAAACAGATACCCTGGAGGTTCTTCATGTTTATGAAAGAAATGATATTAAGAACTGTTCAGATAAGAATCTCTCCATGTACATTTAAGACAAAACTATTTAGGGTCCCTTAGCGCCATCTCTCCCCACGCCCAGCTCTTCTCTCCTTTCCTCCCACTACACAGGCCTGCCCTACCCCAGCGCACAGCACACAGGCCCGCCTCCAACGTACCTGCTCTCTGAGCTGTGTCACCTCAGCCTCCAGCCTTTTCAGTGACTCCTGCAGAGGGCGCCACTGCTCCTGGGAGGCCCCAGCGGGGTCTGAGGAGCTGGCCGGGGCCTGCTGCTGGTAGTCATGGATGTCAGCAAGCCCCAGGGACTCCCTGGAGACAGCGCCACCTGGAGGCACAAGAATCCAGGGTGGGCCTCGGGGTGAGGGGCTAGCAAAGTCCTGAGTCCTGTCTTCCCAATGGTGTGCCCCTCCCCTGTCCACCTGCCCACCGTCATCCATGGACGGAGACAGGGTCTGTGAGGCTGTTAGAGTGAAGATCTGGCAGGGGAGGAGTGGGGAGAGAGCCCTGAGTGGACAAAGGTGACCCAGGCCAGCTTTCCCAAGTAGCAGGAACCTTTCAGGCAGGTGCCAGCCGCAGGGATCCTGGGCCTCTGGGGGCACAGGGAGTATCTCGACCAGAGCCTCCCTGCACGTCAGGGTCATTCATCCTCACTTGGGCCAGGGACGTGGCCAGGGGCAGCCCAGAGCTGACATGCCATGCTGGGAGGCCCAGGAGCCGGCACAGGCTGAAGTGCAGGAGAGGGCGGCTGACGTGTGAAAGGCGGCTGCTTGAAGGTGCCGGGCTTTGGTGTGAGCAAACCCTGCCAGCCGCCTGCTGTCAGAAGGCGCCCTTCCTGGAGACTGTGTGTGTGTGTGTGTGTGTGTGTGTGTGTGTGTGTGTGTGTTGGGGGGGGGGGGTTATGCTACTCCACTCTCTGTTCCCACCTTGAAGACCTGCCACAGTGTCCAGGCTGTGACCGAGGGGCCAGGGGACCCCACATGGGGCAGGGTGGGTTCCAGAGAGTGAGGCTAGGCTGCATTCCCCGAAGGGTTTGGGGAAGCTACTGGCAGGGCCCCCTCTAGCTTGCAAGGCTCCGGGTGGAATGGAGACAGCTGACCCTGGTTCTAGGTGACATTACGTTGAGGGAAAGGGGGGCCTCTGAGCTCAGACATAGGCTTGGGGACAGCCACTTTCACCTCACATGGACTCCTCTCCTGCCGGCAGAGACAGAAAAGCCGTGGCAGGGGGCAAGCTAACTCCATAGTCACCCCACAGACCTCCAGGTGGGGTGGCAGGGCACAGAGGGGCGGAGGAGGGGGAGGGAGGGTCTTTCCTGCAGAAGCAGCTCATTAGTGGCTAAAAGGGTTTCTCTCACGGACACTAGTGAGGCAGGGGCCCAATGTCGCCCACTCTCCCCACCACCCCGCTGCCATCACCAAGGCGGGTGGAGATTCTAGTCCAAAACCTACGTTGTCCTCTTTCTTCCAAACCTGCATGGCCTGGGTTCCTGGCTTGGTTAATGCCACCCCCACCTACTCAGAAACCTGGGGCTCAGCTCCCTGCACCTCCCCCACACCCCGTCGGCTCTGGTCCCACCCAGGCGTCCCCAGCCCACTCCGCCTCTCCTCTGCTCGCCCTCTGTCTCTACCAAGAAGACTGAAGACAGAGCCCTCCCGCCTCCAGCTGCTCCCCGCCCCTGGCACAGCCTTTCGAACCCACACGCCTAGAGGTTCCCAGCAGCGGGTCCAAATGTGACCTTTCACAAGTGCCACCCACCTTTTCAGCCGCCCTGCTACCCCCACATCCAGGTTCTAACAGCCCAACAGATGTGGGCACCCAAACCTCTGGTGCATGCTGCCGCCCCCTCCCCGCGCAGGGCCACCTGGAATGGCGCTCTGCCCTGGCTCCTGCACCAGCTGCCTCCCTGGCCAGCCCGTGAAGGGCGTCCAAGACGGGGTCTCAGCATCTTACACCCTCCACCCCAGCTCGACTCCCATCCCCCATGATCCTCCTCCAGACCGGCCTAAGCAGGAACGATTAGAGGGTCCGGGAGAGGCTGGGGGTCCCCTGGAGCCCCCAGGGAAGATGGGGCAGTCCCGTGCCTGGAGAGACCCACAGGAAGGGCGCCTGAGGGTTGCACAAAGCCTGGCTGCTCCCCGCGGACCCGTCCTCAGTTCCCCTCTCTGATCCCTCTTTTCCCGCCCGTCCCGCTGGGGGAGAGCCAGACTCAGAGATTCAGTCAGCTCCCACAGCGGGCCTCTTTTTTCCTGGTTCTCAAGACAAATAATTAACTTCAGACTCCCAGATTCCAGGGCAGCCTCTCCCCCGCTGCAGCCTGCAGGAATTCCTCCCGAGGCCATAGCGGGAAGCCCCCTCCCGCTCCTGGACCCCACATCCCAGCCTCCCAGCTCCCCCACCACGCTGGCTCCTCCAGCCCCAGGCAGGGCTGGGAGAGGCAGCTGCAGCCCCAGCTCCTTCCCTTTGACTGGTCTGAGCAAGGACGGGTCTTGCCTGGCCGACCCTAAGCCCTTGCCTCCCCGACTTACCTCTGCCCACCCCCTGGGCCTGCGCCAGGCTCAGGAGCCGGAGGAGGAGGAGCTGCCCAGCGGCCCCCAACCCCGCCATGCTCGCTCTGTCTGGCTGCTGCTGTCTGTGGTCTGGGCTCAGAGGCACTGGGGGAGGCGGGGTGGGGACACACCAGGCCGCCTCCCACCCAGTCTTTGTTCAGGGAGGGCTTCTGGAGTCTGTCATCCTGCAGGCTTCGCCTACCCCCCTGCTGGCACCTCGACCCCGGGGTCCCATTCCGGTCCTGACCCAGTCCTGCTCCGAGCGGTAGCAGCCCCAGACCGGCAGGGAGTGGAGTGGGACTGAGAGCGACTTCTGCATATGATGCCAGAGAAGACCCTGAACATAAACACAAGTTCGTCCCTCTGGGGCCCTGAGACAGCTGGCCTCCCTGCCCCTTGGGTTACTCTAACCCCCTGGGGTTCCCAGTCCAGCTTTTACCCTTTCTCGCCTGTGTACAGGAAAAGTGGACTGAGCTGGGTTCAAATTCTGGTTGGGCCAATTCCATATGCCCTTGGGCAGTCCCCCTAACTTCTCTGTCCCTCAGTTTCCCTGTCTGTAGACTGAAGGTGATGATATCTACTGTATAGACTTGCAGTGTGGATTCAGTGCGATTATACAGGTAAAGAATTTAGGGTAGTGGTTGGCACATGCCAAGGGCTCAGTAAATAATACCATACGTGCTACCCTCACTGAAATCGGGGGCTTCCAGCCGCCCCTTCCTTTCTCCACCTATTCATTCTTTCCTAGTCTCTACTCACTCCCTGTCCACCCAGCAGACCCAGGCTTGGTCCCAAATGCCAAGGCCTCTGTTTGCTGTCTGGTCCCAACTCGTTTTCCAGCTCCTGAGCTCAGGCCTGCCCTGGGGGTGAGCAGTGGGCAAGGCAGGGGGCAGGGCTGGGCCGTGGGCTCAGCAGGCAGATGGGGCTCAGGGCGGAAGTGAGGGAAGCTGGCCACGTGGGCCCACAAGTCTGGGAAACTCCTTAGTGCAGCTGGGAAGCAGAGGGAAGTAGGGTTGGGCCCCAGACCCACAGGAAAGGGACGCTGAGGGTGGAGCCATGAATCCTGCCCAAGCCGTCTGCCTTCTGCCATAAAGGCCAGCAAATCAGAGGCCACGCCTCCCCCTCCCAGGCAGGGACAAAGGTCCCCCAGCCCATTCTCCATACACCTTAAGGGAGGGCAGCTTCTCTCCCAGAAGTGAGGGCCCCTTACAGGGCCTGAGCAGTTGGCAGCAGCAGGAGGGGAGGCTGTGAGGCCACACTGAGCCCTGGCCTCAGCTGGTTTGGAGCGAGGCCCCTGGGGGCAGAGGAAAGCCAGGAACAGCTGGCGGAAAGGACAAGGAAGTGGCAGCTGTGTGTCCACTGTGTTAAGGCTGGTCCCTCGGGAGGCTGGGTGGAGGAGAGGCAAAGAGTCAAGTCAAATCCTGGAGCAGACACTTTCTGCTGGTGACCTCGGGCAAGTCCTTTAACTTTCAGCGGTGACATTTTCTTAGCTGTGCCAAGTCTCTCTAATAGCACCTTCCCCACAGAGTGTCTGCGAAGGTGAAGCAAATTAATGTCTGGAAAGAGCGCTCAGCGTGGTACCTGGCACATCGGCAATAACTTTTTTTTACCCCTTAAAACTATGGTTTTATTGATTTTTAGAGAGAGAGGAATGGAGAGAGATAGAAAAATCGATGAGAGAGAAACATCCTCAATCGGCTGCCTCCTGCATGCACCCCTACTGGGGATGGAACCCAAAAACCAAGCACATGCCCTGACCAAGAATTGAACCGGTGACCATTTGGTTCCTGGGTTGACACTCAACCACTGAGCAGCACCAGCCGGGAGGCAGTAACTCTTACTACTTCTCCTATGTGACCTCTACTTGTCACCCAGCCATGCAGGTGGGGGTGCAGGGGAAGCAGGGTTTGCGACTCCAAAATACATCTTTTGGGATTTGCTTATTTTAAGCTGTTTTTTTAAAACAAACAAAAAACTCAGAACTCTTGAACCTCCCCCTTTACCTGTCTAAAAGAATTCCGATAAAGACCTGCTTTAAGAAAGGGAACTGTTGCCGAAACCGGTTTGGCTCAGTGGATGGACCGTCGGCCTGCGGACTGAAGGGTCCGGGGTTTGATTCCGGTCAAGGCCATGTACCTGGGTTGCGGGCATATCCCCAGTGGGAGATGTGCAGGAGGCAGCTGATCGATGTTTCTCTCTCATTGATGTTTCTAACTCTCTATCTCTCTCCCTTCCTCTCTGTAAAAAATCAATAAAATATATTTTAAAGAAAAGAAAGGGAACTGTTTATTACATTAGCATCATGATATGATCTGAATGCTGTAGGCAAGGAGGAGATAATTCTGTTTCTTAGACTCCCCTCAGTGTCCCATTGTTCCCAGGTGACCCTGCAATAATTTGTTTACTAAATATGGTGCCTTCTAATCTACCTGTGAATTGCTGCCTTCCCTCTGAAGTCACAGACCCCTGCCTCCCTCTCCTTAGTCAGAATCCTATGTAATATATTTATAATTGTCACCTTTCTGATGGAAATTAAATTAATCAAATTACCCTTTAATTATTTTTAAATATTTTTATTGATTTCAGAGAAGAAGAGAGAGAGAGAGAGAGAGAGAGAGAGAGAGAGAGAGAGAGAAAGAGAATCATGGATCAGCTGCCTCCTGCATGCCCCCTACTGGGGATTGAGCTTGAAACCAAGGCATGTGCCTTGACCGGAATAGAATCCGGGACTGACCCTTCAGTCCACAGGCCAACACTCTATCCACTGAGCCAAACCAGCCAGGGCTGCACCTTGAATACCTCCCAGTGTGGCCCCAGAGCTGGTCCTCTGCCCCCAGGGACCAATGGACTGTGGGAGCAGGGTTCACTGCACATGGTGGCTACCCATCTACCCTTCCCGAGGGCATCCTAAAATTCAAGGCCTGATGTGGGACCTGCTGGAGGGGTCTGAAGATGAGAAAGCTTTGGGAGTGGAGGGATACTGCAGTCTTCAGCTTTTCTGGTTCGGCTAGTGGCCCTGCTCAGAAAGCAGAAGGTCCCTAGTAGAATCCTACTGTGAGTGCCTTTGGGAATGTTCAGGAATAAACCCGAGAGCCGCCAAGCAGGTCGCGCATGGGACAAGGTGAAGACCCAGGGTCCCCGACACACCAGGGATCAGAAAGGGCCTCATACCACTCACTCAGGCTTCCATGGGCACCCAGAGTAGGGCTTTTGGGGTCAGAGTTCAGCCCCTGGTTGGTGGGGCCAAAGCTGAAGCATAAAGAGGGGCACTCTGTCCTTTACCCCAGACCCCTGCCCCATCCCAGCTGATGCCCAACAGCAGGAGATGCTGCCGATCGGGCTCTGGTCCAAGGAGGGGTGGCAGGATGATGTCTGAGGACCTCCAGGAGAGGCCTCTCAGGAGGGGACGTGTCCTAGGCCTCCGGCCACCCACCTTCCGAGGGTGGTAATGATTCTTGGCTGATGCTGGGCCCCGGATGCCTGGAAGTTCCCCAGTGGCTTTTGTAACCCTGTTCATATCTCTGTAAATGTCCTCAACTTGTGTTCTGCCAGGACACACTCATACACCTTTAACCTGAAACCGCTCCCACTGAGGGTGGGCCCTTTGTCTGGGTCCCTGGGGCAGTTGGGGAACCTGAGAGAAGTTACCCAAGTCCCATAGACAAGGCTCTGCCCTGAGAATGGGGGGTGGGGGAGTGAGGGGTTAGGAGAGGGACCAGCAGGACAACTGAGGCATGGGTCCAGGAGAGCCAGGTGGAGGGGGAGCAAAGCAGAGAGGGTAAGAGCAATGCACCTGCCTCTTTGTGAAGGGCCTGTTCTTTCTCTCTCTCTTTTTCTTTTCTAATTACTTAGAAGTTTTATTTTAGACTTAAAGAGCTCTTTAAGACATCATATAGAGTATCTGCCTTTGCTTGCATAAAAAGGCAACTACAAATTACATTTATTAAGCTATTCCTAAAACTTCTTGACATTTAGAATTTTGGTTTTGGGTTTTTTTTGTTAATTCTCACTTGAGACTATTTTCCCATTGATTTTTAGAGCGAGGAAAGGAGGGGGGGAGACACAGAGAGAGAAACATCGATGTAGAGAGACACATTGATTGGTTGCCTTCTGCATGCCCCGAATAGGGCTGGGGATCGAGCCTGCAACCGAGGTACGTGCCCTTGACGGGAATGGAACCCTTCAGTTGGAGGGCCCACACTCTATCCACTAAGCCAAACCGGCTAGAACTTGACATTTAGATTTTGGATCTTCTGGATCACTTTTAAAATTTTTATTTTTTTACATTTACCTGCAATAAAATTCACTCTTTTTGGTGTGCAGGTCTGAGTTTTGGCAAATGCAGAGAATACGGAAACCACCACCACAATCAAGACATAGAACCAAAATAATTAAGATAAACTCATGCTGCTCTTTGTGGTAAACCCTGTCCCACACCCCAGGCCCTGGGCTGTTCTTCGATCCTATAGTTTCCAATGGGCCTGTCCCGAAGGGTGAGGCAGCTGGGGACTGGGCGGCCCCTCTGAGGGGCCACGGTCACTCCCTGGGCACATGGGCCCCCTTTTCTACACAGACAACACCCCTGGGCCTGAGCACAAGGAAGGAGACCTCCAGCAGACAACTCCCTCTACCCTCCTAATGAAGGGAAACAGGGGGGACCTGTCAGGAGGAGTGGGTGCAGCTTGAGTGGGCCATAGCCCCAGGGAGCTCTGGCTGCCAGAGCATGGGGCCCTGTGTGCCTCCTGGCTCTGCTGGCCCCAGGGACTCGAGAAGACAGCTGGTCATAGTGGGGCAGCCACCCAGAACCAACAGAAGGCAGGATGTGCTCTGTGGAGCAGCGACTGCTGTGTTTATATGATTATCACTTCTGCTGCACACCCACATCCTCCCTGTGAACAGTAGTCTGTGCTGTTGACAGTACAGTGCCAGCTGCGCTATTTATAAACGAGGACCCTGGGGCTCAGAGAGGCCGAATGCCTGACCTAAGGTTAGCCCGCTAGGCCCTGAGCACAGGTTTGTGTGACTCCAAAGCCATCACTCATCACTCATGGTTTCATCTGGTTCAGACACCAGCGCTTCGTTTCCCTCGTTTGCTGTGTGCCTTTGGGTGAACTGCCTTGCCTTTCTGAACTTCC